CTTCACTTTTCACTATTTCCTGGCTGTATAATGTGCAATAACGCGACCGGGTTGCGAAGAGGATCGCCGCTTTGTCAGCGAGAGATGAAAACGTAACAATAATAATGCTCATCTTGCTCACCTTTCACTTACACTAATGGAAGCCCGTGGCGGAACCGGAAGTGTGGTTTTATAAACGACATTCCGCTGTCTAGAAACGTATGATGGGAATCTGTACACTGAAAAACACTTCTCCATGTAAGCCGTAGTAGTTGGACAAGCTTCAGCGTACGGTATACAGGGTGTTCCATTAAGAGTGGGATATCGCCAGAATTTCAAAAAATAGGGCGCACCGGTAGAGGGCGGTAGGTACACCTTTTTGGTGGAGCAAATATAATTTTAACTCTTTTGGTTTCATATGTGGGTAAGTTAGGTTATGAATAATAAAAATTTGCTAAATTATGAGGAAAGGTAGTTTTTTCAATGGAGTCTTTGATAATTTGTTTATATAAGGTTTGAAGTAAGATGGACATTAATTTAAGAATTAGAGGAAATCGAAATTTTATCATCAAATACAAAATATAAAGTTTTAAAGATGATTATTCTTTTTTGACGGCATATTTGCGAATAGATTTTTAAATTTTTTTGGAACGCATTATTTGATTTGCCTTTAAGAAATCATCTTAATTTAAAGTTTCAATTAGATGGTAGCCCTATTTCCTAACGCTGCTGTGGTGAGAGAATGGTCAAAAGATCATTTTGAGAATTGTTGGTTAGGACGAAATAGTCCTTTAATTAAATGGCCGCCGAGATCTTCCGACTTGACGCCATTAGATTTTGTTCTTTGAAGTTTATGGAAACAAAAAGTTTATAAATCAAGGCCACGAACTATGTGCTAGGATAATGCAAGCCTGTACAGAAATTACCCCAAACAAAAAATACAATACAAAAAGTAATTACGAACATAGGTGGATTGTTAAAAATGACAAGAATATAATTATTATTTAACTTTATTTGGTTTCAGTTTATTTTATTTTTAAATTAGTCAAAACTAAGATTATTAATAATTATTGTAATACCACATTACTAGAGTTTAATTAATTTCTTTTCTGTTTCTGTTTTGCTTCATGGAGAACCTGATATCAACAATAAATTAATGAAAACAAAGTAAAGACTTGTGAATTTTTGGTTTGGCTACAAAATAGTTATTTAAAATTTTTTGAAAAAATTTGGTATTGATCCGTTTTGGGGGGTCGGAATCTAGTGGCAAACATATGTTTTCTCAAAAAATCCCTAATATGAAGAAACCGAACTTTTCTCCTAAAAACAGACATAGCACACCTTGGATTTTGTAGCATCAAGCTCTACATCTTAAAAAAAATCCGGTTAAATCCGGTAATCCAGTTACAAAATCGTACAATAAATAAAGAATTTAGAGGGTGGCTTAAAAACAAGTGGATCACACTGTATATGACCGTGACCTACAAAATTTTTCTAGAGTATATTAATAGTGTACAGATTACATTAGAATAGCCAAAAATTACATTACAATTATTAGAAACAAATTGCAATTTAAAGTTAGTGTATCTATCCATTATATGCGATGATGTGAAAATAATTGAGTTTTCTATCACAACTAGCATACCAGTTTTACTCAAAATTAATCGGGTTTTCCTTATTTTTAGTCTGAATTGTCAGCGCATGAGGCAGAAATAGGTTTAGGGCACATTTGATCCACCAACAAGGTGTAATTAATGCCTTATATCATGGAATACTATTATTGAAATTCACGCCCTGAAAATAAGTAACTGTCGAAATTTCCAACAATGTTGGTGAAATGGTCCTTGAAATGTCAATAAATTAAAAAAAAAAAGATTTAAACTTCGGTACACTGTAAACTGAAAAAGAACAACATTTCGTCGTTGATCACACAAAGGGGCGTAATTTGAGTAATTTCTCAGGAAAGCAATATACAGTCATTACAAGCGACTTTTTTATGATTTGTATGCTGGATACTGTAGTGCTAATTATGTATAGGTGAATATACAGTGTGGGCCATTAGTGTGACCCAATCAGCATTGGTACGTTTTATGTATGTACTATGAGAAAATAAAATAACTCCCTTGTTACTCATAATACAGGAANATCAATGCATAACTTTTTAAAATATTGTGAAAATTTTACTTTGACGCTTCTGAAGTTTCTCACCCACCATTTATTCTATTCTTAAACACCCTGTATATTTTTAAACATGGATTTCCGAGAAAATTCTATATTAGGCATTACAAACAGTTTATCATTTTAGTGTAGGGTTGCCAAGTTATGTAGAAAATTCTTCGAATTTTGGAAAAAAACATGACCTTGAAGAAATTGTATTACCTAACTTTCAACTACCAACACTTGGAGCAAAAATATTTGACAGAGTTCTAGGCAAATGTTAGGCAAAAACTCTTATATTAGCTAATATCGATATTTTATACAGGGCATTTTTTATAATACAATCATCTTTAGAAAGTTTAAACTTGTTTTTTTTTAATTTTTCAAATGGAACACCCTGTATTTTATTGTTCTATTTTATTCACATATGGGTCAACTTCAACTTTTATTAAGCATGTTCTGTATCTAAAATTGTTAGTTTTTAAGATATACCATCAACATTTCTGAAATAACTTAATTTTTATTATTTTATAGAATACCACAAATAAATATATTAACTAATAAAATTAACTCAAAATGGAATGATGTTGCTATATCTTAAAAACGAACAACTTTAGGTGTAGAACATACTTAATAAAAGTTGAAGTGGACTGATATGTGAATAAAATAGAATAAAATACAAGGCATTCCATTTGAAAAATTTTAGAAAATCATGTTTAAACTTTCTTAAATGATCGTATTATAAAAAATGCCCTGTATAAAATATTCATATTAGTTAATATAAGAGAATTTGCCTATAACTCTGTCAAATATTTTTGCTCCAAATGTTAGTAGCTGAAAGTTAAAAGAAATTCATATATTTAAAAATATACAGGGTGTTCCATTTAAAAAATGTAATATTTGGCGTGTCGCGTTTTTACTCATCGCCCTGTTTGAAATTAATTCTGTCCTTTAGGTTTTTTCATTCCTTACGACTTTTATATAAACTTGTTTTCTGTATTATGAATAACAAGCGAGTTATTTTACTTTCTCACACTAATGGCCCACCCCGTATATCCTTTCATTACCCTAAGGACTTAATTTAAAAAGAGTCTGGTCAATTTTGTTTTTGCTTATACCCATTTGCAAAATTGACGATTTAAATGTTTGCATTATTCTATTGTTCAAGTTTGACCTCTGCAATTTGTAAATAAACNACAGGTACCTGAACAAAGATGCCGACGGCCTCTATGCTTAGCCGGGGATTAGGTCGGTAATTAAAAGGAAAGAAAGGGATTCTTTCCAGGTAGCCTTAATAAAGGCAGGTAGATTTTGCTCGTTGCAATCACTTCACCTCACAAACAAGCACGTCCGCTCAGCTCGGCTGTTCGCACTGAACGAAACATGACCTTGAAGAAATTGTATTACCTAACTTTCAACTACTAACACTTGGAGCAAAAATATTTAACAGAGTTCTAGGCAAATGTTAGGCAAAAACTCTTATATTAGCTAATATCGATATTTTGTACAGGGCATTTTTTATAATACAATCATTTTTAGAAACTTGTTTTTTAAAATTCTTCAAATGGAACACCCTGTGTTTTATTGTTCTATTTTATTCACATATCGGTCCTCTTCAACTTTTATTAAGCATGTTCTGTATCTAAAATTGTTAGTTTTTAAGATATACCAACATTTCTGAAAGAACTTAATTTTTATTATTTTATAGAATACCACAAATAAATATTAACTAATAAAATTAACTCAAAATGGAATGATAAATTATGAACTGACTAATTGACAGTTTTTTTTCAAAACCATTTCGTACGACTGAAAATAATAAAAATTAGGTTTTTCTAGAAATGTTGCTATATCTTAAAAACTAACAAGAACAAGAATTATACTTAATAAATGTTGAAGTGGACTGATATGTGAATAAAATAGAACAATAAAATACAAGACGTTCCATTTGAAAAATTTTAGAAAATCAAGTTTGAACTTTCTTAAAATGATCGTATTATAAAAAATGTCCTGTATAAAATATACATATTAGCTAATATAAGAGTCTTTGCCTAATATTTGCCTATAACTCTGTCAAATATTTTTGCTCCAAGTTGAAAGTTAATACAACTTCTTCGAGGCCGTTTTTTCCAAAATTCAAAGAATTTTCTACTAAAATGTTAGTGTTTATATTGACATATATAGAATTTTCTCAGAAATCCATATATTTAAAAATATACAGGATGTTCCATTTAAAAAATGTAATATTTGGCGTGTCCCGTTTTTACTCATCGCCCTGTTTGAAATTAATTCTGTCCTTTAGGTTTTTTCATTCTGTACGACTTTTATATAAACTTGTTTTCTGTATTATGAACAAGCGAGTTATTTTACTTTCTCACACAATGGCCCACCCTGTATATCCTTTCATTACCCTAAGGACTTAATTTAAAAAGAGTCTGGTCAATTTTGTTTTTGCTTATACCCATTTGCAAAATTGACGATTTAAATGTTTGCATTATTCTATTGTTCAAGTTTGACCTCTGCAATTTGTAAATAAACTATGTCGCATTTTTAATAAAACCAGTAAATTTAGAACAACTTGATCAATGCATAACTTTTTAAAATATTGTGAAAATTTTACTTTGACGCTTCTGAAGTTTCTCACCCACCATTTATTCTATTCTTAAACACCCTGTATATTATTATAATACTCCAGACAAAAATAAATTATTTAATTAGCAAAACGAAACACAAAATACTCTACTTTTGCATATTGAGTTTAGAAAATCGTATTTTATAGTATCGAAATGTAACTCGAGTGTGATAATTTTCATAAGAACCAAAGAGGTCATTAAAAAAATAGACAGGCATTAACAAAATAATTTTATTAAAAAAATCTTAACAAAAGGAATCGTTAACTAGATTATTCTTTTCCACTAAACTACAGTGTTGAAAAGACAGTATCTTCAAAGAACTAACACCATATTTGTCACCATCTGCAGTTATCACAGTTTCATCGCTTGACACATCTTTAAATATGAAACCTGCATCACCAGTGTCTAAGTTGTAGGTTTCCAAACAGTACAAATCATTATCATCACATCTATATTTATAAAACGTATAAGCAATATTATCACACAACACCAGTTCCAATTTATCACAGATTATGTCGGATACCTCTTTAACAGAAACTACAGATATTTCTTTATCGGCTACCTTAAATTCTACCAAATTTTTACCTAAAAGCAATTAGTTAATTTATAATATTTTGCCATTCAAAGAATTTATGTACTTACCTTTTATATACAACTTATCCTTATATGAAAAAACTGCAAACTCAGCTTCATTGCTTACGAGTGTATCATCAATCGTTACATCCATTTTCAGCCAATGAAAAGTTTTATCATCAAAGAAATACCCACATTTATTGTTGACATTAAGTATAAACAATTGATTCAGGAAACTACAGCATTTAAGTTGTCTACCGGAACAGGGCAAAGCCATTTGAGCACTCCATTTATCGTCTTTGTAACTGTACCAAAACATATTTTCTTGAATAACTCGAAAGACTCCTGTACCCCCCACTATATATAAAATATCGCCAACCAAGCAGGTTTCAAAATGTCTTCTAGGAAAAGGTAGCACACACTTTCTCTCCCACCTTTCTCGTATTGTATCATATACCCAAAAATTATAATTCCAGTTTCCTTTGCCAATCAGAAACTCTCCTCCATACATGAATATAAATTCTTTGTATCCAACCAACTTAAACCCATCTAAACTGGAACATTTTTTCCCGTCTATATCGAAAAAGTTTTTGAACTGACGAGCAATGTAATCTAAAATAAAGAACTTATATACTGGGTGTTTGTAAATAAGTGCGAAATATTTTAGGGGGTGGTTGCCGAAGTTATTTTGTGAAAAAAAGTTCATATAAACGTAGGTCGAAATATGCTTCGTTTCCGAGATACAGAGTGTTTAAATTTTACTTTTTATTTTTATTAATTATTTCAGAGTTTTAAAGATATTGACTCGAAATTTGACGGTTGTATTTTATTTAGAAATATTGACAGCAACCTACAAGATATTTTATTTTTTCCTCAAAAAACGGTGCATCCTACGAAAAAAATTGAAGAGACCTATTTCATTCAGAATTGATGGCGGATTTCTAAAAAAATATCAAAACGGGAAAAGTCGGTGGCGTACCAATATTTTTATTAAAAAGGGTTGTGGCATTCTCGCACAAACGCCACTGGTGCAAGTAGAAATATTCGTATCACCCAAAAAAATGCACATTTATCCTTCCAAAGCGTTTTTCAAATTTCGAGTCGATCTTTAAAACTGAAATAATTAATAAAAATAAATAAAAAATTAAAATTTAACTTTAAAAATTTTGCTTTAAAAATTTAATAAATTCAAAATTTAATAAATTTTAATTTCGACCTACGATTATCTGAGTTTTTTTCACAAAATAACTTCGGCAACCACCCCCTAAAATATTTCGCACTTATTTACAAACACCCTATAGAAGATAGAAGAAATAGAAGAACAAAATGTTGCTAAATTTATACCAGGACTATGAATTAATTTTTATAAATTCAAAACTTTATTGTGACAAATTGTGTACATATTTTTTTTCTACGTATTGTCCATCATAAGCCATTACTTTTTCCTACCTTTCTGACAGCATACGGAATCCACATAAAAAGTGCAACTCATCTTTTGATGCTATCTACCAGTCGATCCAATTTTTCATATCTTCGAAAAGATTAGAAGCGCTGCTTAGCCAGGCTGTGTCCCATAGATGGGAAACAAGAAACAAGTAGTAACCGGATGGAACAATATCTGGTGAATATGGCGGGTGGAGTAAAACATCCCACTCAAATGCATAAATTGTGTTTGGCAGCGTTCATCAATGATGGTTTCATTTAGTTGAAGCAGCTCACAATACACCAAGCTGGTCCCACCAAATACAGAGCGTGAATTTCGAACCAAGAATATTAGATGCAAAATTAGACTAGGATTTTTTATGCTTAAAATTATCAAAATGTATCCATTTTTTATCGCCAGTGATGATACGATGCAAAAAAAACTTTCTTTTTTGCCGTTGAAGAAATTATTACTGTCAACATCTCTCGGCTTCAATTCATGTAGCCCCAATTTCCTTGCTTTTGAATTATATCAAGTACATTTAAACGTTCTGAAACTGTTATGCAATCAACATTCAACGATTCAGCAACATCATCTTGCATTTGGCATGAATCTTGGTAGTGTAATGTTTCCAATTCCTCATCTTTAAATTTTTTCAGTTGACCAGGGTATTCTTTGTCAATTGTATCGAAATCACCAGTTCTAAAACGTCGAAACCAATACTCACACTTTTTATCGATGGAGTATGTTCACCTTAAGTTCCCAACAGCACTCGATGACTTGTTGTTTACACTTCACAAAATGACAACATGAATATAGTTACAGAAGTGTCCGATGTTATATAGCACAAGTTGTGCTATCTATTGTAAGTCCCTCAAAATTAATTCACAATCCTGGTACATTACAGTAAGTCTCTCTTAGTAAACCAAAAACGAATTAATTTTTATTGACAATTGATAGCAAAAATTAACAAGTCGCATAATTCATGTACTTAGTAGGTACACAAATAAAAATTCAAGAATCCATTTTTTCAGGTAGACATTTAAATCCACTTACCATAATAAATCACAGTTAACTTATCATTTTTATATGCGTTATCCAAAATCTCATACAACCTTTTACGTTTGAATTTATCTAAACAAAAAAAATATGTCAAACTATAATCGTATAAGACTAATATATCTATAATGTTAAAAGTCATCTAGAGATGAAAACCCCACAACCCCAATCCAAGTGTATATAGAACAGTCTACTACTTAAAAAATTTAGTAGTACAAAAGTTATGCAAACACATACAGTACAGTACAGGATAACCACAAAAATAGTTAAGACATTTACCATAATAAATAATTTGATGATGCTGTTCTTGAAGTGTTTTAACTTTCTTATTTTTCCCATCCGATTGAATATAATTTACTAATATGCAAGGAAACCTAGATGATATTCTATTCCTACATGTATATAGTAGATTAGCGTTTTTTTGATAAATTTCAGAGAAATGATCTATTGATTTTTCATTTTTTAATAACAATAAACATGACAGAATCTGTGTTATATCTACATTATTAGCTATATCTGGATATACCATAATTTCTTTCAAATAATTGTCAGTTATATTTTGAAAATCAATACAGCTGAGCAATTTAATTAAAATGTTTGTAGAATTTTCAAAATACTGCTCATTATTTTCATACCACCATCTCATAGCAGTTTGGAAAACATTTATTTCTGTGTCTGTTTTTAAATTAATATGGCCTAAATAACAACAAATTTCTTCTAGACTAAATTCAAGAATACAGTCAGTGTCTTTGATTTCTAAAAATTCATCCAAAGCCATAGCTTTAGCTTTCAAAAATAAAGGTTTTATATCCAACTGTTCCGTTATACGCCAAATTTTAATACAATTTTTTGGACACAACATCTCAGTGATTTTCTCTAGGCACGTATTTCTTATTTTCGTAAATTGTAACATGCTTGCAGTATGGAGTACCAATAATATATCTTCGTTTGGAATCAAGTACGATTCATCCCAAAGTAAAGTTAAAATTATATTCATTGCTTTTAAATCGACATCCTAAAATCATTGCAAATTATGTGCGTCGTAAAATAAAATAGTATTATATACAAAAATTGTAGAGAATTTTACCTCTAGTTTTATTTTGCTTTGACTTTTTTCAATGAAATCTCCCTCCAACATAGCCTTAAAGTAATCACTGTTGGAAATTAAGTCTTCTTTATTACAAATTACTGGCGTATCCTCAATTTCCAAAATTATTTCTGTATTTGTCGACATTTTCACATATTTTCTGTACTCATTTCCAAATTCTCGTATTTCCTTAAAATGAGGTTAACTTTAACAAGTCCTGTGACTTGTTTTGAAATTTGAATGTCAAGATTGTCAAATGTCATTTCATGAACATCGAAAGTACGAAAACTCCTGAAAAAAATAAAAAACTCAAATTATCCAAAGGAGTTTTTATATTTGAAGATATTTTACAACTTAAACAATTAAAATCTATAATTTATTAAGGGTTACAGATTAATAGTTGCAAAAAATCCTTAAGTATTACAGCACAGTAGATGTAATGTAGTGAAAAAAACTTTGACGTTAATTTAATAACCCGTAGATCCAATATACAAAAACATTTGTCGTATGCCGAACTTTTTGAAAAATGGATACGAGTAGTGACTCTGATGAAGAATTATTTCCAATTGTGGTAAATATAACAAATACTTATGTTTTTAAGTGCATGATGTTTTTATTCCTGTGGAATGTAGTTACCTACTTTATTTATAATTTTAGACCGATGAATTATATTTAAATACAGCTAGAAACGTATTTCTTTATGATGACCCCTTGTTATATTTGGGAGTGTTAAGGGCAGTTGTTGAGGAGAATTTGGAAAAAGTTAAGCAATTGATAGAATCGGGAAAGTCTGTAAATATAAACGACAACAATGGAAATACTCCTCTTCACATTGCAGTAATAAAAAACAAGTAAGTGCCCTTATATTTAATTTTTTTATATTTTCATATAAAGTACACTTTTCAGCCTAGAAATCCTAGAATACTTGTTAAGTCGTGATGATTTAGTAGTGAACGTAAGAAATTTTAAAGGTGAAACTCCTCTGTATTATGCAGTTAGAATGGGTCGATTACAGTCAGCTACCAAATTAATTCAAGCTGGAGCTAATGTAAATCTTCCAAATTATGAAGACGTTACCCCTTTGCATGTCTCAGTGTCTTACCCAGAAGTAGCTCACCTTCTCATACTCTATGGCGCAAAAATTGATGCTGTTGATTATAGTAGTGATACACCATTGCACGATGCTACAGCAGAAAGAGCATTGAATACAGTGTGTATGCTTTTATATTATAATGCTGATGCAAACTCTCTTGGTGGCAACAGTCTCACTCCTTTTATGAAAGCTCTCATATCTGAAGACATCGAAGTCCAAGAAGCTTTATTTGAATATGTAGATGACTTTAATGTAGCTACTGAGGATCACATGACCACTTTGGCAATAGCATTAACACATGAAACCGTATTCGTTGAGGAAATAATAAAACGAGGGGCAGACGTAAATTATGCCGATTCATACGAAAACGAAGATGTAGCATGTCCTTTTCTACTGTGCTTAAGAGTTCCTAATTCTGAAAATTTTAAACTAATTTGGGAAAAATTGCATTACAATGAAATACGAAATACCATTAATTTATGCTTATTCTTTGAACATTTAGATAGAGAGGATGTCGAGAACTACATCCAAGTGATAATCAAAACTGGCAATTTAAAGCCGGCTGTTGAATCTCTCACAAAAAATGATAACTACTTTTTATTTATTAATAAATTTGCCGAGAACAAGTTGAAACTCGAACAACTAACAGTATTTACTTGTTGCCTGCTCCAGTACGGATACCGCACAACTAGTTATGATATTTATGCAATTTTTTTTCACTACGGTTATTGCGAACTATTAAAAATTCTGTTATTTATGGATAACGATTATAGAAAGGGTTGGTTGCCTTGTATGATTGTTCCTAGACTGATGTTTGACCTAGATTGCCAGTTAATGAACAAAGTTAATGAAATTTATGAAATTCACAAAAAAGATGTCCTACAGTTATTGGAGTATTTTATTTGTCCTCCTTTTATCAGCGCCTTAATATTCAAATATAGGGAGGAGGAACAGATGAAAAAATTACTAGAGAGTATGCCAAAAGTACCTTCATTAATGGAATTAGCTCGAAATGCAACACAAACTCATATCCTTAAGTCGTTCGATATTGTAAGTACCTGCCAGTTATACACGATAATCAAGCACTTGAACGTATCATCAGTTTATAAAAAAATACTACTGTTTGAAAAAAAGTTGTATAGATTCAAACGTTGTTATTGTTAATTAATATTAAAGTGCACTTCTAATGAAAAATTATATATTTTCCGTTTTCTTATTTATGTTGTCAATAATATTTATTAGATCTTTTATATTTATGTGTTAAATTTGTGCATACAGAGTTTAAATACACTTTTATATTGCTACACTTTATTTTTTTTTGTCAAAACCATGAAGAATATGAAAGTTTCATACACAATACAGGGTGTTTCGCATAAGAACCAACACAGGGCAGGAGCATGTAGGGGAACCTAAAATATGGTGATTTAACGCAACACCTTTATAGCCCAGCAAATGAAAAAAAATAATTTTTTAAATTCGTTTCAGATTGAAACTTGGTTTAATCATTAGTTTAGGCAAAAAGAAATAATATTTCCCAAAAAGTATCGGTTTCAAACAACAAGATCATTGTTTAAACAATGATTATAATAGAGTTTTTTAGCTGTATTAAAAAGCGCTCTCTAACAGAAGTTTTTGTTATTGTTTATACTTATAGGTTTTCAAAAAACGCTTCATTTGAGACCTGATAAATCAAAATCCATTAACAATTTATTTAAATAATTGCAAAAAACCAGCGAAATTTGAATTTGCTATAAATAGAAGAAAAAAGCATAAATCGTCTCTAAACTGCAGTAAAAGTTGTATTTTGTTACGCTTAAGAAACCCTGAAAATTTGGTAAAAGAATATTTGTTTATAAATTTTTGCATTTGTTTATTAGAAATAGCATTTTTTCAATTGCAAAAACGCAGTTGGTAGTGTTATAATAAAGGGCATTATGAGGGCTCATTTGTTTCGTCTTGACTTATATTTTCAAGATATGCAATTGGAAATTGTAATTTCATAGGCTAACCTCCTCAAAACGGCGTATAAACAAATGGTGTAAATTGTTTATAAGGTTTTCCGTTAATAACTTTGCGAAGAATGAATATTTTTTAAAGCCGCTTTGATATTCATAATCCTGGTAATTTTTCACGAATTAAAAAAAAATTGTTATAGGACCATTTTTTGCCGATATAGCGTTTTTTTTTAAATTCATAACTTGTGTATTTATAATAATAATAATAATAATAATAATAATAATAATAATAATGTTTATTCATTTCATTTCAATAAAGTTACAAAAGAGTAATAACAAGATCAGTAATACCAATAACAATAAGAATATTACAGATAATAAGAATAAACGTAGTACACCCACTATAGGCATAGTCTGTGCGTGGGGAAGATAAAAAAAAGTGACATGAAACCTAACGAACAAATAGGATTAATTTTAACATAACTTTATAAACATTAAGACTTGAAATTTTGGGAATAAATCAATCAACCCTTAAACTTCATAATAAGTGTTAAATATTTCGAAAAAAATGCATTCATGCGTGCAGTAATTTTTAATCCTTTAAAAAACGTCCTCGAATACATTTTTACACCTGGAATGTGGTGGGGGAATAAGACAAAAACATTCCGAGACTTTAAATCTTAACTGCCCAAAAATTTTGCGATATCTCCGGTAATTGTGGACCAACTTTAACGTTTTTTTTTTAATTTGGGGTAGCGCGTTAATATAATAACAACTGCACGGTCGATTTTGCAATAATTAATTATTAATTTGTTATAAACTATTAATTTTGTAAACAAAAATTCACATTTTTTCGAGAAATAATTTTACACAATGGTACCAATAAACACTTTTCTTAAAAAACAATATTTTTATGTAAAAAAATTCAGGAAATTACATTTTTTATGTATAAAGTTTATGGATATGAATTTAAACGTCGACGATCAGGTCAGAAAAAAGTTGGAATAAGAATAATTTAATAGAAACACTCAGTAAACAATTACAAAAATTAAATCCTTATCTTCAAGTTTAACATTTAAATTCATAACCAACTTTTGAATTTTCAATGATCTTAAATAACACAACTACAATACGTATTATTAGTTATTCGTGTTCTTTTGAAAACGACAAACTTTTTTGAAAACTATCAAGAGTAAGAAAAGTTTTTTTTTTTAAATTCCCCATAAAATAAAGTAATAATTTTTTAATGGTGCATCATCCCTTATCAACCCTTTAAAATGCTTCAAGTGAACTCTACTTACTGTCGATTAATGCTCTTGGTACAATCACACCATGTACCAAATTTGGTTTCTCTAAGTTCAAGTATAACTGAGATATTGATTTTTTTCGAAATTTGAAACCTCCCTTTCAGGGCCTATAACTTCTCATGGGTGCAACTTAGTATAATGGGAAGTTGCGTTAATCACCATATTTTGGGTTCCCCTAGATGCCCCTGCTCTGTGTTCGTATTTATGCAAACACCCTGTATACATTTTTAAGTGATTCTATTTACATATCTATAAATTTAGAAGATAGCAGATAGAATTCTGTTTGTATGATTTGAAATATCTGTAGGCGTTGAGCTAAATATTATAATATGACATCAATACAGACGAAAAATATACTTTGTCTTCAATTCAATGTCCTGAGCAGACTTTGGTATTTTGCTCAATTTCTGAGCTTTTTGATAGTAAAAGTTTTTCGTCAAATTTTAGAAAAAATAATATTGTATAAATTAAATAGCTATTTATTGTGTGTGCTAGACAACTGAAATTTGGCAAAGGACATATTACTAGTTTAAAAATGAAATTTCTAAATTTCCCAGGCTTACTGGATGTTACAGAATGAAATCATAGTATTTTTGTTTCACGAATAAGCCGAGCTGAATCCCAGAACCCAGAATGTTATATATTTCAACATTTGTCTCCTATAAATTATTTCGTCTATATGTACTGTAAATCCGAAAACTATCAAAAGCAATAAATAGTACGTAATAACACGGTACTATTTTAGGTATTTCTTTATATTAAATTCCAAAGCTCTGTAAAAGTCATTATTTTTTTTTCATTCTTCATTCAGTCTTTCATTCATTCAATTTTTGGATTGTAATTGCCTACGAGGTAGTGAAATATTTTGTAACTAATGTTAGGGATTAACTTGCTGCTGAATTTCATGTTTTTGTGCCTTCAGCATTAAATGAAGTGCAATTACTGTTTATTAACAAAAAAAAATGAACATATTGAATTACCATATGTGCTAATTTATAAAAGAAAACGTGCCATGACTTCTAATATTTTTACAATTAACTATATAACTTTTATTTTTTAAAAGTTGGGAGAGCCTCTCAGTCTATATAAAGACCAGTTAAAAAAATTGAAAAGAGTGAGAAAAAAATAGTGTTTGTAGGTAAAATATTCTGTAGATCTAAAGTACGACTATTTTTAAATAAGTATGTGTATAAATAGACGTAGTAAACAAACATAAAATTATCTGTGTAGTGAAGTTATGGATCCTAAACACTTTGTTATGGGAGAAGAAGTATTTCTTGAAATTGTATGTACTGTTGTTGTATTTAACATTTTTTTACTTTATAAAATTATTTTAGGACATACAGTATCTAGGAGGTGACGATTTTGTCAATGAGGATTCGCTGTTAGTTTATGGAGTTCTAAAAGCTGTAGTGGAAGGAGATCTGGGCAAAGTTAAGCAGTTGGTGCAGATGGGGAACAGTGTCAACATTAACGATAGTAACGGAAATACTCCACTTCATGTGGCAGTAATCAAAAACAAGTAATTATAAATGTTGTTTAGTAAAAATGGCACTCATATGATAGGCTTAACAAGTCCATTCTTTTATATTTTTGTAGCAACACCAAATTTAGTGACATCATTTGATTTCACCACACTTTGTTTATTCAGGGTAGGCCAATTTCATGTGATATTATAATAAAAGAGTACAAAAACATCTTATCAAAAACGGATTTCAAAATAATACAAATTATGGCAACTTGACAACGTGTTTTTTTAATGGTTGAACTTGAACGCAAAGTCACAAATAAGATGTTTAATGCCTACTTTTTCAGATAGTTTATGCTTTTATGACGTACATGTTTTCAGTAAAAAAAACTTTCTTTGTTCTGAAATATAAGCTATCCGTAAACACGAAATATTTTTTAGTTTTTTCAAAATTCACGTCCTATTTAATGATATCCTTTGCATGTAAATATTTATTTTATTTTTTTATGTGAGATTCTGTTACTATGAAAAAAATTAATCCTTTTTTTAGTTGCATAATATCTTCTATTTTAAATTGGAAAATACTCGCACCGCTCCAAAGCAACTATTCTATAAAACATAAAAGTCCTATTTGAAGCAGAAAACGTTTGTATGTATTATGTTAATAGTGACATGATTAATACTTGGTCTACCAAATTCTTCAGTAGACTGAGGCTATTTGAAATCATTAATTAATTACTGTTAAGGGCATTTTATTATTACACTTGCTCGAAATTCTGGTTACCATAAATAAACAGTATGTTTCATGGCAAAACCTACCGATCTACTCAAATGATGGACGTAAAAATATATTTAAAATATAACAATAACAATAAATGTGATAATAAAACATCTAATTACTTTCCATAATATACGGGCTGAAAAAAAGTAAACAACCAAATATAAAATGTAATGGAAAGGTAATAAAATATATAAAGGCATTTTGTCATGAAAATGAGATATGCTATACTTATATGTAATATCGTAGGTTTGTTTTAAACTGATTCATAAGTAATGGGTGTCTAACAAAGAATAGGCTATACTGCAAAAGTAGTTTCATTGGGAAAAAATAAAATAAACTAAAATTTAACACCTACTGCAATATGGGTCTGTAAATACAGCTTTGTGATACAATATTTAGAGGCCATATCTAGTCTAGACATTGACTTTTTAATAGAGGTAAGTCGGTCTAGCTCAGGATTCCGCGACTCAGTCAAAAATTTAAAATCTTATTATCGATAATTACAAAATTAAAAAAAATTATACCTTTAAACTTTTTATTTTTATAAGTACACGCGTATAAGTTACTATAATAACTTTATCTATTTATGCAAGTGCAAGTAAGTCGGCTTATAAATTATAACCTGACACAGCGTTCTTCGCGTTGGTTAGATCGCCTTTCCCTTGATTTTTGGCTAGAGATTTATAAGGAATATCTTGAAATTGTTGACCAGGCAATAATAGTATATTAAGTAATAAGTGTTGTAAAAATCATTTTACGCACCAATGGAAAAGTTACGCACGACGCCCCGTAGCGGCAAGTGCGTAATTCTATGAGTGCGTAATTGCATTACACTAAGTATTACGTACTATACTTTACCTACGACCACTACTGTAAATAGTTAAAAACACACCGTCTGCGATCAATGTAAGATTCCTATTTTACGTATGGTAAAAAAATCGCACAGCTTGGTTAAAAAAATCGTACAGTTTTCCTAGCAATCGCCTAGCAACGTTCAATACAAACAGTATTGTATTGACCGTTGCTAGGCGGTTGCTAGGAAAACTGTGCGATTTTTTTACCGTACGTAATAGGAATCTTACATTGATCACAGACGGTGTGTTTATAAGTATTTACAGTAGTGGTCGTAGGTAAATGTATTAATGCCTTTTGCAACTACGTACCTGTGCGAAAAATCATTTTCCACGTACGTAGCGACAAAAACAAAGTATCGCAATATGCTTAATGCAAAATTTGAAATGCGATTGCAACTTACAACAATAGCACCTGATTTTAACATATTATGTAAAAATATTCAAGCACATCCCAGTCTTTGATTATATTTACTCTTTTTTTAATTACTCAAGGAATATTTACTTTAAACATTAAAATCTTAAATTTTTCCTTAGTGGAATATTTATTTTGTTAATCGTAGTATTTATAAATAATATATTAAATAAGCAGTAAAAATGTGTTCGAAAATTTTTTTAGGTGCAGGGGTTTCTCAAAAAATTCAGTGTTGGCGTGGTTCCACAAGTCGTAAAAGGTTGAAGACTGCTGGCTAGCTCATAAAAAAAATATTTAGTTTGGTTAATCTTTAGTTAGAGAAAATTGAAGTTCACTTAGAATAGCAAAAATTTAATTGTATTTTGCTCAGAAACTACGTATTTTATCATAATGCAACAGATAGCAAGTAAAGTGGCATCTCAAAATTGACCTGCATTTTTTTAAATCTCTATGAATAAAAAAAGACAAAATACTTTAATCTTCCAATGGGTCAATATATGTTTTAGGTAAAAAATAAGTATTTTAAAAGCTAGATACCCCAGAAATACTGAGTTTCACAGAAATATCTTAAAAGTGAGATTGATAAAAACAAATCTTTGGAGGCCTGTAACATTTTATGAAAACAAAATTGTACTAGCTTGATCAGGGACTTATTTTCCTAAAGGTGTAGGGAGCGGGGAATTTAAAAACCTGATTCTAAAAAAAACGTAATCATCGACCAAACCCCAATCTCATGACTCTCAGCTATAGCCCTCATAGCTCTCCTCTAGATCCAGGCCTGAGCCGAAGGGCGTTTTTTTGCTGCCCCTCTTTCTAATTATAAGAGTAATCAATAAATAGAAAAAAAAAATGCAATTTATCATTTGTCAGCTTAGAAATGTTTTTTGTATTTACTAACATCAGGTACTGCGGTGGCATAATCATATTCGCCCAGGGCGTATAATTTAGAAATAAGTCCCTGAACTTGATCTAAATCAAATCAGTTCCAATTCAGTCAAGAAAGCTACTTTTGAAGAAAAGCCCATTTTTATCGTACACTCTTTATATTACTTAAATTTTATGTACTGTCAAGTTTAAAAAAATTGCAAACATATTTGTGTTAATTTTGACAGGAATTTCCAAATGTTTAATCTCTTATTAACTCTTATATTGTAATTGATTTATTTCGCAAACAATCTAAAATTTTCTGAAAATTCTAACTACCAATATGAACAGACATATGGCAATATCTATATTAATACCTAACTAACAGTCAACGTATGAAATTTGCTAAAATCTATCAACTGCTGTGTGTATTTTACTCACCTAGTTTATTTGATAAATATATTTTCTTAATAAACAGAATCTTTTTCAGTATGGAAATTTTAGACTATTTACTTTCCCGAGATGGCACCGATTTGAATACCCAAAACTTTTGTGGGGAAACGCCGTTATTATTAGCTGTAAAAGATGAAAAAGTTGAAGCTGCAAGGAGACTTATTGAGGCAGGAGCAAATGTAAACATACCGAACCACGAAGATGTCACACCTCTGCACCTTTCAGTAACCCATCCTGATTTGGCACATACTTTGGTACGATATGGAGCATTTCTAGATGCCATAGACTACAGCGGAGATACGCCACTGCACGATGCTACCGCTGAGGAATGTTTAGAAACCGTCTGTATGCTCCTGTATTATAACGCAGAGGCTAATGTCAGGGGGGTTAACAATCTTACACCCTTCATGAAAGCTATTATTTCTAAAAACGTTGAAATTCAAGCAGTTTTACTGAACTACGTGGACGATTTTAATGTTGAAACTTTTGATCACATAAGTATATTGGCTTTAGCTTTAACCCACAAGTGTCCCTTTGTCGAAGAAATTATTGATGGAGGTGCTGATGTCAACTATGCTTACGGATACGATCTTATAGATGCATTTTCGTTGTGTTTACAAGTTCCCAACCCTCGAAACTTTCAATTGATATGGAGCAAACTTAAGTATGACGGAGCTGACATGGCACTTGGAAGTATTTTATGGAGGATTTGTGGTACCTTGAGGAAAGAGTATATTATACAATATTTAGATGTTATTATAGAAAGCGACAATATAGCTCAAGTTGTCGATTCCATAACCACAGCTGACGATTTGTACCTGGTTATCGTTAGATTTAGTCATTTCTCTCAAATATTAACCCTGGATCAATTGACAAAGTTAGTATGTCAATTGCTTGCTTATGGTTACATTATAACAAGTTTCGATATGACTAAAATTTTTTCCCACTACGGCTATTGCGAGTTATTTAAAATATTGCTTCATACAGATATAAAAATTACAGGTAGGAGGCCCCCTGACACTTCGAGATTTATTTATGACGTCAATACCAAGCCAAAGGAATTACTGAAACAGTTAATCGACATTATAAAAACGGAATACTTGCACAATGCTATTTATCAACTGTTGGATTATTACATTTACCCAAAATTATTGAGTGCTTATCTGGATTTGAACAGAGGAGATTACGTGACTACAAAAATATTAAACCTGCCTAAAATCCCGTCGCTGCTGGAATTATCCCGTAATACGACTAGAGATGTTTTAATTGAAAAGTATAAAGTTTCAAGCTCTTGCCAGTTTTATACATTGATAAATTACTTGGATATATCTCCCACATACAAAAAAATATTGTCTTTTGAAAGAGTTCTGTACAAGATGGATCACGTGGAAAACTTCTAAAATAAATTACTGGACTACTATTGTGAATTTGTGTTATTTTTTTACATTGATATAAAACAATATTGGAATGCATTGAATCTGCTTTACTTTTAAAAATATCATTACGATTGAGTGGTAATAAATTTACAATGTATTACAATATCATAATAAAATATTTAAATAAAAAAATGTGTTTTAATATACAATTCATAAACAAGATTATTCAGATATTGAAAAATGATCAAGTTAAATGCTTCCTTATTAAGAAAATTAAAACAATAGTTATTTACACCATAAAGGGGGTAAGTATTATTTACCAGTCGAAGACGATTTTGCGCCCAAGTGGAGCGAGGCCTGTAGAGTCCGAGAGACAGTAGATCAAATCACACACATTTTTATCGTTACACTTAACACAAAAAATGTATAAAATGCATAATTTAAAATAAAAAAAGTCATAATTGGCTTTATTGTAATTTACTTTCAGTGAATTTTAAATTAAAGGTCATGTTTTTTCCTTTCACTAGATCCTTTTTTTTTTCTTTTTTTTATAATTTTAAAAAATATTTCAATCCAATATTTTTAAAATATGTAGGTACACAAAAAAAACGAATATTTTTTTTTCGTGTCTTGTGAAAATATGTTTGTTTATCATGTTTTAAGAGCCACCTCAGCTCAAAAAAATTTATTTAGAGGTTGCTCAAGATTTTTAAAAATTTCCAAAATTGTCAAAAATTGAATTAAAAAAAAATTTTTTTTTTCATGTTATTTTCTCATTTTCTGGGTTAAAAAAAATCTCGATTCTCAAAATTTCAAATCGATATTTTAATTTCTAAAGGTTTATTTTTACTTTAAAAGTAGTGTACTTACCTAAAATGTTTTTGGGCGACCTCTAAAAATAAATATCAAGGAACTAATATTTTTTTTTATTGAATTTGATAAACAAAAGAATAAAAATAAATTACGACTTAAAAAATTTCTCGAGGCAAAATTTACTACCGCACTGAGTATCAAATATTTACAATTTTTTAATTTTTTAAAATTTAAGTGTCTCGTGATTTATTTCTATATTCTATTTCATCAAATTCAATAAAAAAATTTTTTTAGTTCATTGATATCTATTTTTTGAGGTCGCTTGAAAACATAGATACACTACGACACTGAAAGTTAAAATAATTATGAGTGACCTTTGACCTTTAGAAATTAAAATATCGATTTGAAATTTTCAGAATGGAGATTTTTTTAACCTAGAAAATGATAAAATAACAAGAAAAAAATTTAAAACAAAATTCAATTTTTGACGATTTTGGAAATTTTTAAAATCTTGAGCGACCTCTAAAAAAATTTTTTTTGAGCTGATTTTTTGAGGGGGCTCTTAAAACATGATAAACATATTTTCACAAGACGTGAAAAAATATATATATATATTCGTTTTTTTTGGGTATCTATTTTAAAAATATTGGATTGAAATATTTTTAAAAATTATAAATAGAAAAAAAAAGAAGAAGGATCCAGTGAAAGGAAAAAACCTGACCTTTAATCTAAAATTCACTAAAGGTAAATTGCAATAAGAGGGGATATGAAAACAAGCATATCTGCACTTTGACAGACCAAATTCGCAGATACAATACGATACATCTGAAAATTTTAGAGCCTGTCTAAAATTGTGAAAATAACGTATAAGTAAACTCATTTATTTACCAATCATAACCTGCAGTATCGGTAATTGGCTTGTTTTTCATTTTCATGCATTACCGTTGTAATTTATCATGTCTATAAAAAAACATATTCTACATTATAAATCGATAAAATTTGAGACAGGAATTTTAACTAATGCTGATACATGCTAAATTTTTTGTAAAAAAAAATTTCTGAAGTAATTTTCTCTAAAATTACAGCAGACCACTAATTAGTGATTACCAAAGTAGTTATAGTTTTGATTCAGCGGGTACATTTAAAAGGACACTATTTATATAAAAAAAAATCATTAGAATTGTAAGCAACAAAAAAGTGGTTCTTAATAGACCCACACTGTTCTCGCCACACCTTGTTAAAGCACACAACATTCGTTTGTCAAAACATTGAATTATTTTTTAAATAATAATAATACCACTTTATTTGTCCAACAGTATAACCATTTACAGGACAATCCAGTACAAGTATTAAATAGATAAATAGAAGTACAATTATTAAATTGAAGAAAGAAAAAAACAATACATAATACAATAAAACTGATGGGTGCACCTAGAACACAGCATTACTCAAAAAAAAAACAAAAGAACAAAAACTAATTCATGCAAATATTCTAATAGCTATCATTAGATATAGGTAGTGACAATTAAATAAACCTGTTCTTAGTTGCATGAAGAAGCTCTGAAAGAGAACAGTTGAAAATGTCACATCTATTACAAATAGAATTATAATTATAAAATATCCTGACAAGTGGTGACTTCAATAAAATATTAGATCTAGCTATAGGAGTGTGAAAGGTAGTCCAAGAACGATTTGACCTTCTAGGAACTAGAAAATAAGGTTGGCTAAGAATTTCTGGATAGTCGACGCCATTATGTAAAAGAGAATGCAAGAACTTAAGTGAATAGTAGCGTCTCCTAAAATCTAACGAATTAAGACGGACCGACTAATATGTTTTGGTCACAACCACGCTCCGGATATATACCATCAATGCGATATACAAGATATTTTAGAAATTCTTTCTGTACTGTCTCGATCAATCTAACATGATTATTAAAAGGGCTCCAAACGAGCGAGCAATATTCAAGCTTGGATCTCACATACGCAAAAAACAAGGTTTTTAGAACCTTAATATCATGAAAATCTTGTCTAATTATAAATCCAAGTACTTTCGTAAAAGCAGATACGGTGTGCTTTATGTGGGATGTAAAGCTTTATTCTAAATCAAAATGGACGCCCAGGTCCCTAATTGCATCACGGAGAGCCAACACATGCGAATCGATTCCATAATTGAACAAAATTTTATTATGTTTACGAGTAACTGATATCGTTTTGCATTTATTATTATTAAGAAAAAGTTTGTTCAAATTACACCATCGGACCACATTACTTAGCTGCAGCTGAAGCTTTACATAATCATCAGCTGATTTAACAGCATTGAACAATTTTAAGTTATCTGCAAAGAACAATTTTTTACAATCAATTACACTATTAAGATCATTAACAAACAGAGAGCAAAGTAACGGAGCTAAATTCGACCCTTGCGGAATGCCTGATGATACTAAATAAGGAATGGAATTAAACCCGTTACAGGTAACATATTGAAAAAGATTAGACAAATAAGACCGGAACAAATTGACTAATAAAAATAACTACTATTCAAGTAATCATGTGACTGAAATAAATTGTTAGTTATATGGCTTCTTAATTGTGCAGCAACTTGAAATGGAAACCACGTTAACCACATTAATTCAGAATACCATAAACCTTGAAAATTAAGCATTTCTGAAGACGTGCTTATAGGGAGGTTTTTGTTAAAAAGTATTTTAATTACACCCCGTGTAAGATATTTTATGTAAAACAAAATCACAATTAATGATGCTTTATTAAATAAACAGTGCTTAACATTTTTTACAATAATTTAATTAAAAGTAATGATCACATTCAGATGAATTTTAAAAGATGTAAACAATACAAAACGGCAATACAAATTAAGTAGGAAAATAGTATAAACATATATCAAAAAACAAAATATTTTCTATGTATTTCGGCAAGTACAAATGTTTGATTATTGTGTACAATTTACAACTATTATTTACAACATATTTCAAACAAATCGATCGCCTTGCAGAATCTCTAGATAATTGTAACAATGAAGGAAACGTAACAGATTCGTCAAGAACCTTTTTACAAGCTTCATAATTAATTTCTTCAGATCCTAAAATATCTAATATTTGCATTTTCAAGTCGCTGTCAAAAGCATAGAACCTTCTCAAATACTTTAAGCAGCTCAGAAGGGCATCAGATGGAAAAATCGTATTCATAAGAAATATATTTACGTTAGGCACAGGGGTATATCTAAAGTACATGATGCTGTAAGAGTCGTGACTACTACTTTGTAAATCCATATATAATAACGACTCCAAAAATGGAGTTATAACTCCTAACTTTCTATAAATCACGTCAATGTCTTTTTCAAAGATATGTGCTCCATGTGAAAGTAAGTGGAATACAAAAGATTCTATGATGCCTTTATCCACATCTTTCTCAAGGCACCGCAAATAGAATATGGAAATTATGGGATCCGACTTGTAAAAATACGAGTTATTGTGATGTTCTAAATCCAGTCGTAACTTGGTTTCATTCTCTATGAATATTTTCAAATATTCCACCCATTCCGTTATGATGGTATCAGTTTGAAGAAACTTAATCAACACTGACTTACTATAAGAAATTGTCCAAACCTTATAATCGAACTTATCCCATATCACTTTGAAAACGCTAGAATCACAGTCATAAAGCATTGCTAGAGACACAGAATTATGTATTCCATCGTAATAACTAACATCGGCACCATGTTCTATAATGTCTAAAGTAACAGGACTCTTATACTTGATAGCAAAAAATAGAGTACTAGTTCCGTTACACGTTAAGTTAAAGTCAGCCTCATAGTCTATCAAAACCCTCTGGATGTCCTCTGTGCACTGGCAAATTATAGAATACATAAAAGAAGTCAAGTTATCAGGTAAGTGATTGGTATATGCTCCATAATAAAGTAACATACACACCAAGTCCATATTATTACACTTTATAGCATCATCCAGCGGTGTCTGTCCTATTATGTCAAAAGCATTTATATCAGTTCCTTTTAAAATAAGCTGATGGGCGATAAATTCGTTTTCAACATGGACAGCTATGTGTAACAAAGCAGATCTTTTATGAATCGGTATAAAATCATACACTTCCAGAAGCTTCGTTGCGTAATATGGATCTGAGCAGTTGACACTTGCAGAAAAACATTGTTCATAGTAACCTGATTCAATATGATCACATAGATCTTCTGATAAAATATTAAGTTTCTCTAATAGGAAATCAAAAAACTGTTTTCTAAAAAAATACCTCTTAAAAATATAAACACGGGATTTTATAAATTTACCTTTCTCTACGGATTGCTTCCAAAAATAACAACATTGCATCTGTAGTTTCTGCATACTTAATTTTTCTCTTCAAGGTCTTGATATCATTTTTATGGATGGTATGCATTAATTCTATTATGTGGCAGTGCCGTTCCTAGAATTTTAAAGAAATATTTGAGTTTTTATACAATTAAAGTGGTGAGATGGTAACATAACATCTTTTACATATAATTACCAGAAAGCTACTTGCTACTCCCATTATGATTTATAATCTTCATAAAATCCTGTATCATGTATCCTAAAACAAAAATTCTAAATTTAATATGAACTGCTGTACTGTATTATCACTGTATGCAAAACATAACGATTTTGCATGTATTCAGTCCAGTTTTGAGTGAGGTTTTATGAAACGAGAAATACAAATAAATATATTATTTATGTATTAATATATAAAAATTAAATACCTGTTGGTTTCTGTATATCTAAATAAAGGCCTATGAACTAGGATTTCCACATCTATAACTTTTTACTTCAGAAATCATTTTTTCATATGTATTTTATGGTGTATTTAGCAAACTCAAAAATAGATTGTCAATATCCGTTGTAATTAAATTGTAGGTAAATATTTAGTTTTCTACCTGTAGGTAATTTATCATTTTTTGACACTTTTGTCTTCCCCTAACCTCAAAAGCTGAATGGATGTAATAACAATAAATTGGACAAAGTTTAAAATAGATCATAATTATTATTATTAGACAAATTTTAGTAAAGCCTGGGATTAAGATAATAAAATATTGCAGATTTTCTTTATAATTCAAAATTTAACTAGCAGCATAGCCAATAGCCATAATACAAATTTAAAAAACCCAATGATTCCAATCCAAGCCATGACATGTCCCAAGCCAAGTTATGGAGCATGGAGATCAGAGACTTCTAATATAACTTGTCTATGCTACAGAGTTACAAAATCATTCCAATGGAAAACGCTATGAAACATTTGTCATTTATGAATTTTATGATTCGTCACGTTTTGTACTTAACTTCATTCTTATCAATAATCAACATTAACCTAACTTTTTATAAATTTCATAAATTATTTTTTTTATAGAAGTTTTACGTTATTAAATTACAATTTTAAAATGACCGAGTCACCTAGTAACTCGACAATTCCTTATAGCAAGAAAAACGATAAACATCAAGATGAGGTAAGTCAAGTTTAATTTAAAAATATCGTTTATTTGCGCTATTTTTTCATATCTACTTATCTACATATAAACCTATTATATATATATTTAGGTATTTCATACTTGTTCTCCTTTTAGAAATTAATGGAACCATTTATTTACATATTGCAAGTACCTGGAAAGGACATAAGGTCAAAATTGGCAAAAGCGTTTAACTACTGGTTGAACGTCCCTGATGAAAAACTGTCTCAAATATCAGATATTGTTAAAATATTGCACAATTCTAGTCTTCTGTAGGTATTTATATTATTATATTATTTCATAACTTTTCATAATTGTTTAAAATAATACATTTTAGAATAGATGATATACAAGATAATTCTATTCTCAGAAGAGGTATTCCTGTTGCACATTCAATTTATGGAGTAGCTAGTACAATAAATACAGCTAATTATACATCTTTTATTGCCTTAGAGAGAGTGATGGATCTAAATCATCCTGAAGTATGTTTTTATATACAAGATTATTATTCATTGGCTAATATATTTTTAATCAGAACTTATTCAATAGTTTTCGTTGCAACTTTGAATACAATAAAAAGAATTTCTTACGAGTCAACATTTTATACATTAAATAGCAATCCCGTTTAGATAAGGAGTACTTGGTTTATTGATAACACATTAAAACACATCTTGAAAAACATTTGAAACTAAAATTAACTATATACGCACATGAAGATAACTTTTATTATATTTCTTGTAGGCAATTTCAATCGCCTTAGAACAAATTTTAGAATTATATAGAGGCCAAGGAATGGAAATATATTGGAGGGACAATTTTACTTGCCCTTCTGAAGAAGAATATAAACAGATGGTTAAAAGAAGTAAGATACTTTTGTTATTAATATACAATTACGACAACTACTTGGGAGCTGAATTTCTTATTTAATTTCTTTGATTCAATATTTATTATCCATTTTAAATATTTTATTTCAGAAACTGGAGGATTATTTATGTTAGCTATAAGGTTGATGCAACTTTTCAGTGATAATAAGGCTGACTTCACAAAGATAACAGGAATTTTGGGCCTTATATTTCAAATACGCGATGATTACATAAATCTGGTGTCAAAAGATGTACGTATTAATTCCTATGGTTTAAAAAAAAACTAAATTCAGACTTGAAATTAAACCGATTTGTACTTTTTATATTTTTTAGTAGTTACAAAATATTTGCCGGTATTGCATTATTTTACTAACTTTTTAGTATATGCATCATAAAAGCTACTGTGAAGATTTAACCGAAGGTAAATTCAGCTTTCCTATTATTCATGCGATTCATAGTCAAGCAGAAGATAAGCAAATTATCCGTATCCTTTCTTAAACTATTTTAGGATTATGCTTTATTATTTCTACATTTATCTATTTAATTTTACTTGCAACTTTGAAATAATGTTGAAAATAATTATTCTTAATAGCGATTAGATATACTTCGGCAACGAACAAAGGAGATTGAAGTAAAAAAGTACTGTGTAGATTTATTAGAAAAATTCGGCAGTTTTGAATACACAAGGCAGACCTTAAAAAATCTGGAAAAAGATGCTAAAGAAGAACTGGAGAAGTTGGGCGGAAACCCTTACATGGAAGATTTTATTAACTCATTATCAAAAACGTAGTTAAGTATTAAATAAATAAAAATATGTATGTTTGTTACCTTTATACATTGTTTTAAATAGTGTATTTTAAATTGAAAATTTTATTATTTAATTTTGAAACATCTATACATAATTATTTTAAAAAAATGTATGTGTATTACATTGTATATTTTGTGTTCAAGAATATCTTAAATTGGTTTTTATACATATACAGAGTTTTACAGAATAATATATAAATCCTAGAGGTAATACATGGTCCTGATAGCAAGTTTTAAGACTGATTTTATTGTGGTGAAGTGTGTGGTCAACGGAATTATGTTAGTGGAAACCCTTCCGAGCGGCCGTACAAAATTTCATACAAGTATCTACCATGAAGTAAATCAGGAGTGTGTATCACGTCTGACTGTGTTCCTGTGATTAGGGAGGTTTTGTGATGACCGAGACAGCATGCACGACGACGAGAGTACGGGACGTCCTCGCACAAGCTGAATGAACGAAAACATCTAAGCTGTGCGCTCTGCGCTGAATCGGATCGTCCATTAATCGTACACGGTCTGCCAATAGTCTGATGGTTCATTGTCCTTTGCTTGTGAAAGTTATTTTTTTTTAAATAAATTTGCTAATATCTTAGCAATTACCTGACGTATACAGAAATTTGTTAAGTATATTATGTTTTGAGCGGCCTAAATAGTCTGGTTATATTAATTTTCATACAGGTGTTATGCTGCAAACCAGGAATATCTTAGATCACAAGTTTTTTGGTGTTAGAATTATAGAAAATAAAACCTGGTGCACCTACTTCCAATTTCTGTGCTTTTTCATAAAAACTAAGCTAATTTTGTCAAGATCACAAATTGTGTAGTAGTACATATACCAGGTGGGACAAAATAGTATCTTGGTTGAATTCGATTATTTCGAAAAACGTTTCAGAAAAAAATTGTAGGGCACCGAGGAAGCAATTGAAAGGTCCATATTACGACTTCCGGAGGCGGTGTTTTTAGACAGGAAGTTTTTTTTAAATGGAAACCCCACAGATTTCGATTGAAAAACGAAAAAAAAAAATACTCGATTTTTTTTTATTTAACCCATATTTTGGCCATAAAAAAAAAACAAAAAAAAAACAATTGGGATCACTTTAAAAAAAAAATTCAAAATTTTAAATGGAACCCTCTTTTATGACCTTGGAAATTACAAGAGCGGGAAGTTTTACAATAAAATATGAACTTAACCTCAAGAACAAGATCAGATATCAAGGTCATTTTAAGGTTGAAAAACTGTATAATTATTAACTACTTTTAGCACTACCCGGGAATAACGATGTGGATATATAGTAGTTTTTTATTGTAAAACTTTCTGTAATTTTTGAGGTCAAAAAATTTAAAATTTAGAATTTGATCTTCAAACGTCCTTGAAGTCAAGGTCATGTCAAGATAGCTCCCTTTCACCCTATAATTTTTGTATGAAATTTTTTTTTTAAAGTGATCCCAACAAGGTACTCCGTTGTTTCAAGATTCTTGTTTTTCATGGCCAAAATATGGGTTAAATCGAAAAAATAATAAGAACAAAGTTTTTTTTTTCGTTTTTCAATCGAAATCTGTGATAAAAAATGGTTTTCGTTTAAAAATCCGGTCTAAAAACACCACTTCTGGTCTAGACCGGAAGTCGTAATAAGAACCATTAAATGGCCCCCTCGGTGCCCCACAATTTTTGTCTGAAATTTTTTTTTTTTTCAATATTCTCGTGTCTCCGTGATATTATTTTATCTCAAGGTAAATGCCCCACCCAGTATAAGAAAATCATACAAAGGACCCCAAAATTCTAATCTCAAAATAGTTGTAACCGTAAATATATAAATATGTAAATGCCATATAGAACTTATAAAAAAAAACTGGTCAAACCAACCTACTTAGGATCTATCAAAACATGACTACCAAATTTGGCAAAGTTCATTTAAAAAAAATTATCACACCATATTTTGAAAGCAAATGTCAATGAACCTTCAGTTAAGGGGTAACACCACTGTAATTTTCAGAAAATCTATTTTTTATTGATTTCAGAATAAGGGGAAAGAAGTTTTAAACCTGTACAAATTTTTTTCTTTGAAGTTCCGAGTTCTTTCCCAAGTGCGTCAGACTGCTCCGAAGCGACTACCTGTGGCACATAATGTTGAAGGAAGGGTTGAAAGATACAGCCTAATGACTTACCTTTCGATTTCTAACTAATCTAATACTACTAACAGATGTCATTAATATTAACAAATGTTATTAGAAAAACTTTGTATTCAATTAGAATAATTTTCAAATGAAAGTACGTCAGTATAACGTATACCTATTCTCAAAAGTTTAAGTGTTTTTCTCAAAACAAGATTTTTCTAAATGGCACGTAGCATAATTTCCACAATTTCCATTATATTAACTTCAAATTTTGACCATACTTTTATTTCGATGAGAAGTATGTAGTGGATTTTCGATAAGTTTATTTTAACATTATTTATTGACAAATGACTTCTCCTTTTTTTGTCAAAAATTGAAATTTTTACTTCAAATACTCACTAATCACACAAAAATTAATGTTTTCAAAAACCCCTACATATTCCTCTAACCACATTCAAATTTGCGTCAGTTACACTGTGTGCCGTAGAGCACGTCAAGTTCGACATGCCTCTAGAGCAGCGGTAATCAAACTGTGTTCCGTGGAACCCTGGGGTTTCACACAACCTCTCTGGGGGTTTCGCGACTCAAAAATTCAAAATTTTGAAATTAACAATATCAATACTACAAAATTTAAAAAAAATTTGAGGATTGCTTTCGGTGTGTAGCAAACAAACTCTCTCTCAACTGTAAAATAAAAATATTTTTATTGAAAACAAGTTGAAGAAGACGTATTGTTGTTCTTGGTGTGGAGTCGTTCGCAGGTATTTGAGTAAGCATCTGGTCACCGGCGCCAATCCGCCATGGACCCTTCCTGGAATCTGGTGCGTCCCACTTTATCGCTGCAACCATCAGACCCGTCTGGACAGTGTCAGGCTGGCGCTATTAACGCAATGCTTAAAATGGGTAACTTGCAGATGTGTACCCACAAATTTATACTCATAAAACTTTTTATTTTTATAAGTACACGCGTATAAGTTACTATAAGAGCTTAACAAGATATAAATAACGATAAAAACAAAGTATGTATCGCAATGCGCTTAATGCAGCATTTGAAATGTGATTGCAACTTACGACAATAGCACCTGATTTCAACATATTATGTAAAAATATTCAAGCACATTCCAGTCATTGATTATATTTACTCTTTTTTTAATTATCCAATAAAAATTTACTTTAAAATTTAAAATCTTTAAAGTTTAATTTTTACTTAGGGGAATATTTATTTTGTTAATCGTAGTATTTATTTATTATATAATCAGTAAAAAATGTGTTCGAAAATTTGTTAGGTGTTTGAAGACCGCTGCTCTAGAGGATCCAGTGTTGCCATTTCGAACTATTTATGAATAAATTTATTTTTTTTTTGAACACGAAGACATGGTTAATAACATCCTTGAATATTATTATCCTCTTACTTTTCCTTCCATTAAAAAAAAATTGCAAGACGCTTTATTTTAGCATTTTACAGTGGTTACCCTTAATAGGAAAAATTTTCTTAATTTTTGACGTTCTATTGTTCCTAGGATTTATGGCAATTCTTGAAACATTTTGTATAAACAGTATAAGTAGAACTTTAGGTTTTTCATTATTATTATTTTTTTTAATGCTATTTAAATTGTTATTGATAAATAAAATTTATATGTATATCCAGAGTTTCATCCCTTAATTTAATAACCGAATTCAAATATGGTGTAATTTTTTTCATGTATACAGTAGAACCTCCAGCAACGGTTCAGTTCTGGCAGCCTGGATAATTGAAAGCATGGCTAATCAAAATAACGTCCAAACTCGCCAATTTTGCAAAAAATATTAACTTAATTACACATACCTATTACATACATTTGTACATATGTAGGTAAATAATATGTATGTGATAAACAAGCAGAGACTCATATTTTTTTTGTTTCTGAGCTCTTTTTTCGCCCTGCCACGGATAATCCGTGTACGGATAGCGGATAATCATAAACATTGCAGCGCACAAAGAATCCGCCGCACAGATCAGCTGTGCACGGGTAATCGGGGTTCTACTGTATAACTTCTGTTTATGTATTTTTGAATTAAAGTACTTTGCTGTTACGGTGATGTAATAATTCAACCGGCACCAAAAATTCAGTTCAGTTGCACCTACTGGCATATCAAATTAAACGAATTAACATGTTTCAAAATCTCTATTAATCACATATAAAATAAAAATATAACTATTACGAACATAAGGCATAAACGAAAACACCAGTTACACTGTAGACACACTACAGCTGTGCCTTGCGTAACCTCTCTTACTAGTAAATTTCTTCATGCACTGATTACAGTCATACAATTTCCGAGACCCATGTGTCGCCATATGTTCCTTCAAACTATCCGATCGAATGAAGGCCTTATCGCACAATTTACACTGGTAAGGTCTTAGTCCCGTATGCGTCCTAATATGAACTTTTAGCATGTATTTATCGACGAACTTTTTATTGCAGTACGAACACTCGTGTTTCTTTTCCTTGCTATGTACCCTTCGCAGGTGATCGGCTAGGTTGCGCCAACTCTTAAACGTTTTAGGGCATATTTCGCAACCGTGTATTTCTTTCGCATGAGTCGCCATGTGGATGTAGATGGACGATGAGGTCCTCCCTGTGTAGAACATTCACCGTACCATTATTAGTGTTGAAATAAAAAGGGTGTCTGCAGTATAAATGCCGTTTGTTCAGTATATAGCAGAATATCACAAAATAAACATAAATCCCTTATGTGACATGTGAAGCTAAAAATATCGAGACACAAAACGTTCAAAATGTCCACCACTCATTTTAAACAAGTGCTTACTCTACAAATAATTCTTATTTCCAGAACAGTGCCAAAACATTATCTTATGAACTTGTTTTCCTTATAGTTCGCTTCACTAAAACGTAATACAACCCTACAAACAAAAGCCTAAAGGATTCATATCTGGTAACCGAGTAGGCCAAAGATGTGGTTCAATTCTTCCAATCTGTTCTAATACTTTGTTTTAAATTTGCTTCTAAAAACCATCTATAGAAATGTGTTTTTTTAGAAAATGACCCGATAACTAATAATTCTCTAATCATCTGACAACTGACAATTTGTAGAGACCACAGACTGCCAAACAGAAAAAACAAAAAAATTAATTAAAGAGTTGATATACAAAGTAATATTTGGAAAGTAAATAATTTTTATAATCAACCGCAAGCCGTTTTAACAATTACTATATTTTTAACCTTACGGAATTCCATATAATCTGTTTTTTCTTTATTTTTTACTACCCGTGTTGCATAAAATCTTTTTCTTTTGAACTATACTTCACATATTAAACGTAAGGCACTTTACTGTGGAACACCCTGTATAAATAAAAAACGGTACCTGCATAAGAACATAGCTTGCAAGTATATGGCCTCTCGTCTCTGTGTGTTTTTAGATGAACATTCATGGCTGTTTTTGAAGAAAAACTTTTTCCGCAAGTTTCACAAACGTGGTCTTTTATGTTGGTATGAACCGTTATGATATGTTGCCTCAACGTTGCACCAGAGTTGAACCTGTGGGAGCATTCAGTACACCTAGAAAATGATACAAAAACCCTAGAACTATAATTTTCTACAGTAATTATGAAATTACTTACACGTATCGGTCGGTGTGTTGAATTAGGTGAATTTTCATACTGGACCTAAGAATCATCTTGCCACATTTCGGACATGGATTTTTGTGCTGTCTTTCATGCGCAACTAAGTCTGGTCTACTAGCGAATACCTAAAAATTAACAAATTTAAATAAGTGTAACCGTTCGATGAATAACAACTTAAAAATGGTACAAACCTCGCTACACTTATCACAATTAAATACAAGTTGACCACTGTGTTCATCCTGATGTTCTAAATATTCCAAAATAGCATCAAATTTCTTATCACAAATATTACATATATATTCATTTTGTGTGGGTTCTATACTTTTTGAATTCTAGAATTATTATCAAAAAGATATATGCAGTTCTCAATTAAATAACAAATTATTAACATACATTGCAATCCTCTTCCTTTAAAAATTCTTCAGCTTCGGAATCGCTGTCTTCATAATCTGAAAAGCCCCAACTATCTACTTTTTCATCCTCGAATTCAGTTTCTGTAGTCTCATTCAAGATTTTATGGTCGACCTCTATTTTTAACTTCTTGTTTGAGCCGATACACATTTGTTTGAAGTCGTACCATTCATTTACTTTTCGGACACATTCCGCACATACAGTTTTAGGAAGCGTATCAATCTTAGTTATCTACAAAATAGTTTTTAACTTATAACGAAGCTTTGTTTGATACCAGCAAGTAGTTACCTCAATAGAAACACAGTTTTTTATCCTTAGTAACAAATCATTACGATCTGTAACTGTAATAAGTTCCTTCTCTTGACCTAAACATAACCTGCATATAGTCATAATGAGTAAATTTTTTGTATTACAATAATTCGCTTAATTGAAAGTGAAGCATAAAATAACATCAAAATTATTCCTTAAGTTTTCAGTTTGTCTTATAAAAGGTCTTCAAATACATAATAAAAATTATAAACTTGTAACAACAATCAAATGCAACCAACAACACAGCGCACATCATAGAACAGTAAAGCGATTGAGCACTTCCATGGAAGATCACTTGTAGAAGAATATACAGGGTGTAACTTTTGTTGGGATCGTATTAATTTTGATCTTTAAAAACACGTCAGTTTTTTCAAATTCCGTCTTGAAAACTGTTTCTTTTCTAACCTCTTTAGTGAGATATCGCTTTTAGTTTTTAATATTCGGAAAGGTTATGAGCTCAACCACTAAATCAACTCCACATACTTCTATAGATATAGAGGATAGAAGTATGTGATCAACTCGCCCCTCTATACTTACACTCTTTCTAAAAAGTACCAGTTTTTATATTTGATGTTTGGTGTAGGTTTTGTTGGAAATAAAAAAACAATAAAACGTTTTTTTGACAATTGTAAGGCTTACTTGTCAGTGCCTCTTTATTTTTGATTTCCCAATTTTCACAAATAGAACAAGTAATTTAAGAAGCAGAACGTTTTACAGAAGTACGTGCCTAACTAGGAACTAGGACAAATTTCAGGTCAGCGACGCGAAGATGCATAAACTAAACAAAGTGCTTTAGCAAAATAGTAACAATATTTTTTATTAAAAATTTGGGCAATTGAATTGAAACTGGATTTTAAAAAATATTTCAAAATTTTCAAATCTATGATTAGTGTTTTTATTTATGTAACTTTTAAAAAAATATCAATAATAGTATTAATATCTTTATTTTGAAACAAATTAGTTTTGCTCTAATTTTATGAATTAAAATTTAATGAAAACCTGAATACTTAAATTTTGATAATGTCCTGAGTGCTTATTTTTTGTGATATGTTGAAAAAGTTGTCTGTTATATATAATTGTTTTATGAGCATATGTGCCTGAAGTAGGCAACATGTTTATTCGTTTCTGAATTGCAAATATAATTTTTTTTAAATATCGGTGGGAAATATGCTTTCAAACCATGCTCCAACTCATTATCTTAATAAGAAGGTATTTTGGTCCACTTAGAGCGAAATATATAAATAATACATAATACATTCATGAAGATTTTATTGAGTGTAAGTCAAAATCAAACACAAAAAAAAACATTACAGCAATAAAAACTCTAAAAGTTATAAAACTAAGTAACACGTTAAGAGCACGTGAAGAGAAATAATTGTTACGGAGTAAGCTATCCAGTAAGCTAAATTCTTTTAATATTGAATTTCAGATGAAGTTTTTAAAATATAAATTTTATTTGAAAATATGTGTTATAAAGCAAGACAATTCCTATTCTTCTGGTGTTTTGATTCTTTTTTCACAACCTTATATCTTAGAATTAACTACCCATTCCTCCAAGGTAATGTAAAATAGATTTTCTTTAACGAGGATAATTGATTCCACACTTTATAGCTTTTGTATTTTATACAATTGAATATGTTTTCACTTTATGGGATGGGGAAAATAATCCCTCTAATAAATCTTTTAAGTAGGTTCAAAATTACTTCATACATATTTTACAGACTATATAGACACAAAAACATTTAAAACATTACAGTAACATACCTTAGTATAATCAATACCAAGCTTGTAGTACTTATATATTGGCACATCCATTACAGTCTCCAAAACATTAATGTAACAAACATCAGGGGATCTACACCATCATATAAAGCTTGTAGCTTCTGCTGATTCTTAAATTATTTGTGACTAAGACCTGTTTCCACTCCAAGTAAGATTTCACAAAATATACTCTTTATTTTTTAAACAGAATTATACTACATGGTTTTTTTATTATTCGAGGATATAAAAATATCTAGAAATATTTTGTGTTTTTCAATTACTTAGCGAAAACACTGCCTTAATGATAGTGATTTGGGGACACGTGACTTATAACAGAAACAGGCTCAGTTTAATGATGTAAATATAAATACAATCCATGATATTAATATCAATAGTAACGCTAAATATTAACGATAAGTCAATATGTAAAAGTAGAATGCTTTATTTGATAAAGTTTAAAATTCAGAAAAGATTTTAGTGTGATATAGGCTATATTTAAAACAGATCACTACGTTCTTTTCTAAGTTTCACAATAAATAATTAACATTATGTATAAATGAACTTACAGTTGTTTTGTAACAAGGTTTGCATTTTTTATTTTTTCGCAATACGGATATGTCTGTACATATTTTTTTTCATTGCAGCCACAGTGTATGTGACATCAATTTCTTTATTGCACTATGATAAAACATCCTTATAAATGTCTCTCCTCGTAGGTGCTTTGCTAAAAATCTTTTTAACATTGAAAATAAGTTCCTTTCAGAAGGGAAACCATCCCTTATTTTCTCAGCTACCCAGAGTGTGTCAACTACACACCTGAAGTGTGTCGTTTTTGTACATTTTTAAGATAAAATATCTCCTCCTTAATATGTAAATGACTGCTGTTCAGGATTTCTACATCTACTTTACAGCAGAACCAGACGCTATTCTCTAAACAGTAGTATTATGTCGCTGAAGAAACAATACCGCCTAAGTGAGATTTTTATCAAAATTAAGGTTTCCCACAAAACACTCAAATAGCGTGCAGTTATTAATGAATTTAGTAGATGTAAGATGTTATTTGTTATATTTTTTTTCGAGTACCTACCTATAAGTACCTACGCGAAAAAGTTGCCAATTATTTATTTTGTTCTTTTTGAACTTACCTATACAATGAAGAATTAAGGGTTTGATTTATGTTATTACAATTAGTTTAGTGTTTATTTTCGAAGTGTAAGTACTTTGTTAATTGCACCTACCCCTTATTTGTTCCTAATTCAAATAAACATAAAAACCGCCTATAACACGGTTGCATTCATTTTTAACCAACTAATACGGCCTAAGTAGCAAAAAAAATAAAAACCCATATTTTTGAAGAGTTTGCAATTGAAGTAATAATTTGTTGGTTATTCTGATGTCGAGAACCTAAAACTAGATCAGGTTTCCATTAATCACAATTACGAAGCAGTTTTTTAGTCTCCTGAAAAGTTGACATTGTTTCTTCAACAATGATTATTTCTTTGTACTTTATTGTAGGTGTGACAATTGTATCATTTTGTTCTAAACCTGATCCACATATCTGTCCATATTTTTCTTTTAGCAAAAACGTATATAACATGTGGAGCTCTAGTTTACTTACACAATGTTACTTGTAAACTGTAAGTTCATAGCAAAATACATAACGTGACTGAATATTGGTGAATATCTGATTCGTACAGGACCGGTGGAAGGGGTGAAATATCTAAGCAGATGTTTCAGGCGGCATTTTTTTTTAAGGGCGGCAATTTAAGATTTTATTAACTTTTTATAAATTTCAGATATTGAAAATTTCACAAAAATCTGAAGAAAACATTTATTGACCCCGAATGCGTGCTTTATTGTGAAACGTTACATATTCTAATCCATACTTCGTACTGACTCGTTTACTCGGTTTACTCGCACTAAACATGTTAACACCGTGTCGGCTGCTTTTGTCTCAAGAACAAAGAACGATTAAATTTTGAGCAAAACACGGCATGCCTGCTACAGCGCACAACGTGGCGACTTAAAAGATGAAATGCGACAATCGGTAGTTAAAGTTATCTCTCGTTTATGAATTTTAAGTAGAACTACTGAAAGTATTATTTATCTGAGATGTTTGTTACATCAGTAAAAATGCAAGTAAGTAAATAAGTCAATTATCTGTCTGAGAAGTTAGGGGTTAGGTATACAATTAAGGAATTAAGTAAATTAATTTAAATATAAATACGTGTTGCGTACTTAACGTTGACTTGTATGGACGACAGAGTTATTTTGCTGCTTCTACTGATTTTTTGACTCGCGGGAGAAACTGATGCTAAATGTTAGTTAACGTTCCTGTGTCTGTGGCCTGTGGAGAACATTCTTTTTTAAAATAAAAAATCATTTACGATCAACCATGGCGCAGGAACGGTTAACATACTTAGCCATTCTTGCTATCGAGAAAGATATAACAAATAATTTGGTTTACGATGATATTATTGAAGATTTTGTTAATGAAAAATGTAGAAAAGTTGATATGTATAAAGATCCCGTTTTGACATTATTTAGTTTCTTTTTTGTTTTTAATGAATATTTTTTATTTTTGGTTTTATTGGGATATCTGTTTTATTTTTTATAGGATGTTTCTTATAATTTCTGTTTGTCTTTTTGCTAAAATATTTTCTTATTTATTTTTGTCTATTGAAATGTTTTTTATTTTTTATAACGATTTATTAATAAATTTGTTATTTGTTCCAACAGTAGTAACTTGTATATATTTTTTCTAGGGAGGCAAGCAAATATTTCAAGTGCCAAATACCCTAGCGCCGGCCCTGGACTCATAGTTACTATGTCTCTCTTTTTGATCTTAGTTGTCATACTATAGCTTAAATCTATTCCTTCACTCATACTACACATACTACAACATACGACTTCACTAGCGAAAAAGCCTATAACCTTCAATAAATATTCAAATGCTTGTTACTTTATTTTGTAGAAGAATTTATGGTTTGTTTCACAGACATCACAAAACAGATCGTTTTCCTTTTCTACCATAACTTTCTGTTATAGGCCACGTTTCCCGAACTCTAGTAATATTATATTTTAATAAATTATTAACATGAATATATTCACTTTTATAACAAAAATATTATAGGCTATACTCTGATCTCAAAATCAATTTGAAATAAACGTTTGTATAACAAAATCAATGACAGATTTCCTTTGAATTGGAAGAATATTTCCGAGCAGACAAATGAAAAGATTTTATGTTTAATTCTATGCACAATTATTTGACAAGATCAGAATATATCTAAATATAAATTATCTGTGCAATGCATTGCGAATGTTTTTATCGTAACCTTTCATGTTGATCAGGATAAATTTAGTAAAATTGTGCTTTCTCTTCGTTCAGTGTACCATTTACATATGTTCGTAATTGTCGTAGAAACGTTACGATAAAAACTAAACACACTCTCAATGGAATGTTTTACTAAACGATTAAAAATGATGGCGGACAGAACATACACAATGATGAGATTAATAATCAGTCAAAAATTATGTCATGGTTAGTAAGTCAAAACGAACATATTCTAAACTAGTGAGAGGCTGCATTAAATCAGTACAAAACTGTTACTTTCACAGTTACAGAAATAAAGCTGAGTATTACTTGTGCTCGTTTTAAACATCACATGAGTAATTTTAGTCAGTTTTTCTTTAACAAGGGCAAGGTATTTGAGTACGTATTATTGTTGTGCAAATATAAGCTATGAGATATCCTACCACTAGCATACATTTAGATTATACGAAGAATTATGCAGAAATGATTGTGATCCAACATTTAAGGTGTAACATTTAACGAGAAGACATGGATATGGACGATGTTATCTTAACAATTAGCGGTCCAGATTTTTTTAGTTTTGAGTTTTTCTGCTAATATAGACCATCATCTGTGGGGAGGTTCCTTATTGAAAATAAGACATATGTAGAAGGTATAATTCTTTCGTTTTTGAGACAGCTTATACGTTTTCTATTTTTCTGATTTTTCAAAATAATTCTAGAACAATTTGTAATACGCCCGTCACAATACCTCATTCATAGTTGTAAGTAGTTGTAAAATAGACTAGTTGTAGATATTAGGTGGGTGTGTAGTGCGCGAGTATAAGGGAATAGTGCGAGAGTACGAGGTCGTTCCAGCAGTGTCGGCCCGTGGGTTTGACTACAAGGGGGGGTGCATTTTGAAAAAAGGACGTATATGATAAGAGGTGGGGGGGGGGATTTTGAGGGATTTCAAGGTCACTGTTGCAAGTACCCCAAAATAAATACTGTCAGTGTGTAGGTACAGTACTTAGGTACAACGCGAGAAGTAAAATTCCAACGTGTGGGGCTGAAGTGGATAATCGATCAACCAACCCAGTTGGGACATATGTAGATTTAAAGATGGAAGATATGTATACAAAAAATTTTGGGAATTTTTACAGAGGAGGCACTGCCTCTCCTGACGAGTCGCCACTGGGGCGCATGGTAAGCAATTATTTATTATTTACTATTTTAATAACATCAATTTATTTTGTTTACTGCACTCTTCTATTTTTTAAAGTTCCATCCATTCTCCTGCTTTTGTCCGCAATGAACTTCTGTCTTCTGTCACCTTTTCGTTAAAGTCTGGAATATTTTTAACCACAGAGTTCTCAATAGACAACATTCCTAACGCACTTAGACGATCTTCACACATAGTATTTCTCAAAAAAGTTTTAATCAGATTTAGTTTTGAAAACCACCTTTCTGGTTCTGCTGTTGTCATTGGTATCATCACTAATATTTGTAAAGCTTGAGTAATTTCCTTAAAAACTGCTTCTACACCTAACGATAGGATGACATTTAATGTTGTTAACCAACCAGAAGTTCTTGGATTATCGATTATTTCTGGTCTAGAATAAAATATATTTAATTCTGTTTTTAAAAGTTCTTTATCGATCATTGAATAGGCTCTGCAAAACTGTTCTATATCATTTAGTGGGAGTGCTTTTTGATATTCTGCACAGTTTTCCTTTAAAAACAGTTTTGCCCCTGAAAGGTGATCTTTAAATGTGCGCTCTTTAATTTGAATAGTGATGATATCACAGACTTCTCTCGCAGATAAATTTAAATCTTCATTATTTCTTCTTCTTTTTCTTATATTGATTGCTGTTTCATCACGTGGAGCATCTTCAACAGGAGGCAAACTATTTCGAATGTTTCCAATTGATTTTTCAAAATATTCGATTGCTATTTGTATTTTTGCTGGATCTGTTTCAATTTTTTGTAACTGGTTGTACAAAATATCCACATGCGGCATAACTTGAGCAAAAAAATGTAACCAAAACAAAAAACATTCATCTTCGAGCTATTTAGCAATCAGCTTGTGTAATTGTTGTCGAATTATATTTTTTTGGTTGTCCTATTTGAATATTCGTAAAGCACGTGAAAATATTATCTTTGTAGGTAAAAATGGTTTGGACTGTTTGAGATTTTGTGTTCCAACGCGTCTGTGACGATCTGGGTATTCTTTTGTCACAAACATCTTTTAAGGCTGCTGTACGATCAGGAGAATTTATATACTACTACTACTTGAAACTGCCTGTTCTAATAATTTATTAAGTTGATGAGCATAGCAGTACGGAAAATGGGTATTTTTCCCTGATTTTCACATTGACACCTCCTAAATGGCCTCGCATGACAGCTGCTCCGTTATAAGTTTTGGCAATTAATTTATTTGGACAGTTTTGTAATACTGGTTCCAGTTGCCATAAAATACATTCCGATAACCAATCTGCATCTTGTCCTTCTGTCATACAATTCATAGTGAAACATTAAAACCATTTGAATTTGTGTTGAAATATTGGTTGTGTCATCACACATAATTGCAAGAAAAGAGCTGCCTACAATTTCTTGCAAAATATATTCTCTACATACTTCAAACATGCACTGTAATAGTTCATTCTGTATAGTTTTTGGAAGTTCCTTTAAAAACATGGGCATCACTAAAATGTTTATCTAAAACAGGATCAATTTTTGCACTATAGTCTATCAGTTCTAAAAATGCCCCTTTGTTTACCGAGTCACTTTTTTCACTATGTCCACCAAGAGGAAGGTTACATGTACCATATAGTTTTAAGATATCTATAATTTTTTAAAGATGCAATCGATTTTTCTTAACTGTTTCGTTATGACTATTTATTTGTTCGGCATAAGCACTACTTAAACAAGAAGCAATATTTACTCTTCCTAAAAGTAGAAAACTCACCAAGTTATTTTTGTGTTTAGGAAGAATTTTCATGTTTCTTAATTTTGTCCGGTAAATGTTTCAAGTCGGAAACTCCAGTTTTCGTCCAGTTTCCTTCGCCTCCTCCAAACAATAAATATACAAAACAAAAAAATCTATTTGTTTCGTCGCAACCACATAACCACAGGGTCTTATCATAAATGTTTTTATCAAATTTTCAAATAAAAGCCGGCCTACTTTTGCACTCTTTCTGCACCTGAACTAAATTCAACACTGGCGTTGGATGTCCGTTATTTTTCAATTCGACTTTTTCTTCTAAAATTAAATTACTAATAACAAGTTTTTTTATTTCACAAACCCTCATTTTAAATTTAAACTTATAAAATATAATTTCTTAAAAAGCGCCAAAGCAAAAACAAAACACGTATAAACACACTTCAGTGAAACGGGTTACCGTCACATGAAGTCCAAAACAAAGCGTGCGAGCCTATCGTCACCTATCCCCTCCACGTGCCAATTTGTCACATCATATGTAGAAATATGCTTGCACGATGGACTCAGATTTCAGCATCCGCGATGAAATGGGGATAGCGCGGTCAAAGATAACTCTTTGGTACAATCATAGATGGCAGATGGCATTAAGCTAAGCCACGTTCATGGTGTACATGCACTTTATGCAACCAACCTAAATCCAAGACATATTGAATGCACGCTATTTAGATTTTTTATTGATTTAAATAAATAAATTATTTTAAGTTTACAGTTTGAAAATATCTGGAGGGGGGGGCGGAGTCCCCAGAGTCCTCCTTCATGAGCCGCCACTGCATTCCAGATCATCCAGGGAAGCACAACAGAGTTAACCGTATTCCCCTTGTCACCAGCCCGCCTGTACCCTAGATAACTGCCTGCAAAAGTAAATTGAAGGATCTAAGGTCAGATATCTGCTACCGTATCTCTATCCGCGAATTTCCACATTCCCGTTTGGAGACACTGAGCGCCATCACATAGTTCTTAAATTTAGAAATCGTTTGTAAGCTGTTAGGCTATTAATTATTGTCAACTGTCATTGGTATCGAGTAATAAATATTGTTATGATCAAGACGTATCAGTTCTTTCTGTACCTCCACCGACTTTCTTACTGTAAACCTAAACCCATAGGTTTAAGGAAGTACAATTGGCGCCCAACGTGGGGTAGATTTGGTTTTAAGTATTTGAAAATATTCTTTTGTGAAACCAGGATTTCCATTTACCGTTTGATACCATTTCCTTATTGTCCCGGGATGAGGTAAGTGCATGGCAAATGTGTCTCTTACACGTTTGTAAGCTTTTGGTGAATAATAACTCAGCATCAGGGCAAAAGTTCGAAGTACAGGGAAATAACCTCTTGGAGTTGACCCGTGTTTGTAGACACATTTCTTAAAAATAAATCTGACATAGGCTAATTGTTTTCCAAATACGTTTAAAATGTAATTTCATCATTCAGCAATTTTTCCTCATAGAGTTTGTCAAGGATACTTCTCAAATTGTCAATTTTCTTTTTTAAACGACATTTATTTTGCTAAAAGCGGGATATATTTTTGTTTTTGGAAATGAAGGAAAGTTGTCCAAGTTCATACTTTAGTTTTTTCTTTCTTGGGGTATCATCACTAGAAATGTTTATATAATCCTCTTCATACTTTTCATTATCCGAGGTAGTCAAAGTTAGCATCGAAGACGTAGAATTTATATCGACACACTTAAAGAAGGAAACTTTTCGAATCTCTTCACCAATTTGTTCACGTCTATTTATACAACTGTCTTCACCGTAATTGTAATCGCCCACGTGTAGTACTTAATATTATTTCTATAAAATATTTTAACCTGTTGGAATATTTGTAATCTTAAAAGTCTGATAATTTTGAAGCAAAAATTCTGTCTCATAAGCACTTAAGTATTATCGTTACACTTTATATCCTGTTTACTTATGAAGTATCGTTAGTCCTTATCTTCAGAAATCCTTAATATTCAGCAATATAATGCATCGAGAGTGCAGGACATTTTTTTACAATGATTGTTCATGAATGCTAAACGTATGACATTAAGATAAACATAATTTTATTAGGTAACGTACTTAATATCTTTGAAAATTATTTGTTATTAAATTATTAAACACTTAATCACAGGAAATGTAAAAAGGTTACCATCATCAAAATTTCATTAAAAATCAAATTACTGATTTGAGAAAAAAACAAGATACAAAAAATGTCAACAGAAATAACAAGTAAGAACGGATTCATGACATTTTGCCCAAGTTTTGGACAAGGATCTCCCCTTGAATGATGGCATATATTTGAAATAGCATGTAAATGCATAATAAATATTAAACCTTAAACGTATAATAAATATAGAAAAAATGGCAAGGTACAAATACGAAAATACGAAACATTTGATACTAGAAAACAATGAAATCATGAATAAAGAAAAACATTTCTCGGCATAATTTTTTTAATACAAAAATTGTATGTATTGCACCAAAATTGTATTCAAAATACTATTATAGCAGAATTATTGTACTTTACAAGATTTGTACCATGCCACACCTGCAAATTCCGCCGTTAGAATTACTTTTATATTCCGTATCAGGAAATTTCACAAACACGAAGACATAGATATGGCACAAACATCAGATATTTGTAAACAGCTTATTTTGTACACCTCTGAAAATAGTAGACTTCTCGTAGAATATATAATAATTTTTGGTATAATATCATTAATCAGAAAATAATTATCTTGTTCCTTAACTACCGATAAACCAAGATATAGAGAGCAGCTTAAGCCTTATACCGATGCGATCTATTCATAGAGCAAGAGAGGATCAAGCCAAGCAACAAACCTAGAACCTGGACAGCCAAAATGATCCCTCCGACAATCATGATTGTGCAGATGTTATCGGCCAACTTTGTCATGATTAGCGTGTAGCAGCCTCTGTCGTAAATAATATTTGAGTCAGGGTTACTGCCTACTTCCAGGTGTGTGGCAGTAGCACATTCTTTTGGCGAAACTCCTGGTCGGCAACAACTTTGCGGGATGTTGTAAATCGAAGGAGAATTTTTTATTCCCATGTATAGTACCTGTCCCTTAGTCCAATCCATGGGTGAAAGAGCGCCACAGCAGTACATCTAGGATAAAGTTTGCATCAAAGGTTTTACAAAAAAAAATTAGATTACGAAGATCTGGTTTTGTTTTAGAGGAACCTATTAAGTAATATACTTTTGTGATTTGCTATATAAACCTCTGCAAATGATTAAATTGCACGATTATTCATGCTACAGCATTCGAATATAAAGTTAAAATTATAACCAGAATGACATCACTTTTAAATTTGCATTGATATTAACAAAGACCGGGTGTACTAAATATTTATGTAAACAAATTCGATGGACCTATCAAATTTATTTTAAGCAACTCACCTTGGACTGGATCGTATCAAACAGGCTCCTGACATTTTCGTCCACATCGTAATCTTCTCTAACAATTTTCTGCACATATGTACGGATATGCACATCGAGTTTGTCTCGATTTATGTAACCCCAAACGCCAGCTGCCACTTCTGCCACGACGATTATTAAAAGCAGACAAAAGGACTAAAAGAAAAACAGAAATTTTTAAAAACTCAGGTGGCTAGAATATTACAATTGTTGAGTAATTCATATATCTGATATTAAAAGTGCCAGATTTTGACTAAAAAAATTCAAGTGCAAGGATATAAGTTCTATATCAGTCACAATTTTTCAATCATTATCCATAAATTTTTAGTATATCTCATACATAAATATTTATGTTCTATTAATTGGGATAGTTTATTTTATTCTTTAACCAATATATTTTAAAAAATAAATTAATTTTAATTAGTTAATGTTTATTTTCCTTTCCTACTAGTTTCAGCTTATGACATTGTCTGTGAAAAATATAAAAAAAATAAAGATTGGAAAAAAATTAGCTGCATAAAACTACTAATTGGTATTATAATTTTGTGTAAAATTTTAAAATATCAGTAAATTTTGCATTTAAATCATCTCGACCAATTAAGAACAAACAATTGTTTCAACAATGTGTTTTTCGGTATGAAAATATTGATAACATTTTCTTTCAACAAACAATTGTTCTCAATTTGCAACAAACAATTGTGTTCTCAATTTGTCACGACTTGAAACAAATTTTGACCATTTATGTATCTATATCTAACAATTTCCTCGATTCCCGTTGCAGAGTGTCAATTAAATGTGGTTGATTAAGGATTAAAGTAATGAGATGAAAAAAAAGTGACATTCAGTGGCAACTATTTGTATATGTATAAAAATTGATTGCTATTGGAATTTGAAAAATTTTGTTATAAATTCACTAATATTTGCCCAACATATCCAGATCTATAAAATTCCCTGATAATTTCAGGTTTTCCAGATTGGTATGTTTTCTATAAAAATCAACCTACGAAAGCCTAAAATATTGTTTAAATCTCCTAATGAATAACATAAAAAATGAAATTTTTAGACATTTTACACAATTTGCAATTTGCAATTTTAAGCAATAATAATCGTGGTTAAACTAATTGCACCATATGGGATATGACATCAGACATGAATAATTCGTTTGAAATTAATCATACCTATACTTATTGCATATTAATATGCTGTTCCTATTGCTAATTTCCTATTAACAATAAATAAATAAAAATAATATTTCACTTCCAAATTTACTCCAGTCATAGATATATTTTTTTCATTCTTGTTATTCTCTGTTCTCCTGTATAAACATTTTTCCTTTCTATTAAAGTAGGTTTATAACGAATTATTAAGATTCAAATTCTACTTATTTATCGTTATTGGCAAACAAATTAATGTCTATTTTTAACCTATTAGTACTATTAGTCACTTTTGCCTACCCATATAATAAACAGAATTAAGTAATATGGGATACATCTTTTTCCTGCTTTTCAAATTACATACTTAAATCCAAATAGAATATCAAAATCAGTAAATGTACTTACCGCAATAAGAGCCTTGCGTGCTTCTTTGGCAACACTATAAATTCCCAGAAGAGCCACAATTAAAAGAATGATGGAGGCTATGAGAATGATAATGGTTGATATTAGATAATCATTAGATTTCTGCATAAAATGTAAAGGAATCGTTGGGTCCACAAACATCCATATGGAAACACCTATTCCAGCTATAGCAAACAGCTGAAAGATAACAGAATGTTTTTTTAAGCAAATAAAAATCGTTTATAAAAAAATTTTCACTGTTGTATTCAAATCTGTGGAACATGTACATATGTACCCACAGCCGAAATAGCTATTTTGTCTATGATAAACTTAGTATACCTACGATTTAATCTTAACATTTTACTATATGTGCACCAATTCTTATATGCAGAATGCCTATTAGAGTTTAATATTATTACTTAAATGAGTTTTTTAAAATCTACTTAATCCATTTTTACTACAAATTGTTACTTGAAATTTTCTTTCCAAATTTACAAATTATTTTATTTTTATTATTTATTGATCACTCTCTGTATATTAAGAATTATGATGTAGTACAAAAACCATATTAAACAACTAGCATTATAATGTGTCTATTATTATGCTATTATTTTGAAGAAAAGTGAGTAAAATTTGCAAATTCAGTGAAAATAATTTTCTACGTAAGTTAACTATTTATTATTTCGTATATTTTCATATTTTTCTTTGAATGCGATGATCATAACCTATAAATATACATATCAGTTTTGTCAAAATATGCGACTTATTTTGATTCTAATAATAAAACTCTATATTTAGAATCTACATAATTATTCATTTTTTTTTTAATTAATTTATCATATCAATATTTATCACACTAAATATTCAGGGGTGTCCAGCTGCTTTATAAACAAACTCCGGGACTCCGGATTAATTCATGACGCCATAAAATTACATAAACAAAAATACCTAAGTTGGCGTATAATTTAACAATGGAGTGGGGTTGGATGAAATTATAAGCAATTTATTTGGTAATTTCATTATTTAAAAATCCAGATTTGGCACAAGTATTTTTTCACTATTTCTGCCCACACAAAAGTATATAAAAATAGCACGCAATTGGAAATTATTGATTTAATACAATATTAAAGACAAAATGGCTTCTGTTTTAATGTCCTTACCAGAAATATTATGTTGAGGACAATAAATAAATATTTCATGCACTTATAACCAGCACCCATTTTTACAGTTATGCACAATTATTTCTTATTTAGTCACTGTGTCACTACGGATTACATTAGCAATCACCAAAAATTAACTACGCGAATTCAACACTACGTCTATGACGAGACCGAGATTTCCACCGGGCTGATCTGTTTGGTTCTATTTTGTGTTTCTGTTGATCAGTTAGTTGATCTCTTCTGTCATACTTGAACTAATAACTATGCTGTTTTTATTTGTGAAACATCAGCTGCGGAAGCTTTCGCTTAATAGCTTCGCAGTTCGCATTCTCTTGTTTCTCTTTTCATTTCCAAGGTCGAAACGTCGAAGCGAAGTGACGAAATTAGAAGCTCTCTGTTGAACGCCAAAATTCAAAACAACAAGTATTTTATACTGTAAAAGGGCTTTTGTATATTTTGATTTCAAGCTTATTGAAAACTCCATTAATTTAAAATTTAATATTTAGTTTATTTAGTGGATATTTATTAATATATATGTAAAAATGTGTAAACCACTCTTTAAAAAGCTCCAAAATTCTCTCTGAAAGCTTTTAAGGAGACCTGTGTCTGCGCATGAGCATAGATAGGACGCGTATTTTGATGTATTCTTTCGCTATGTCTGTCTCTTTGTAACATGGAAAATAGAAAAAGATAGATATAAAACAGATAAGACTAATAAATCAAAAAAATACAGTAATATAAATAAAATGGCAAAGTGTAGATATTTTAGGAGAAAATTCATTGTTTTTACTAAAAATCCAGCATCATTAATCAGTTTTATAATTATAAATATATAACTGTAATAATACTATTTGTATTTAAATAATAAAAAATGATCGTGAACTATATTTTTAGGTGAGGTTAAATAGAAAGGTTTTATATCATATTTAAAAAAATGGATGAGGACGAATGTGATTACCGAACTCCTGTAGGAAAAGTAATAAAGCACATAAACTATCTATGTAAGAAACCTCCTTTTGATAATCAGCTAAACGAGGTAAGAATTTGACACGACACATTTACATACTTAACGTGACTAAGTAAATCTTTTAGGCCATAGATTTGTTTCATGAAAAGTTATCTGAACAAGAGAAATACTTGGCAAATGGTATTTTCAAAATAAACTTTGCTGAATCGGCATTATTTCTACAAAGTTGTGCAGAGCTGTATGGGAAGAAAATTGATTTGTTATTTAAGGAACTTCTTGAATTTCACACAAGGCTCATCAGATATGACTGCGAACATCAAAAAGAGAAGTATAAAATGTTGTAATATGTTATTTGTCCAATTACTGATCAAATATTTATTTGTAGGGGCATTCCAATAAATAAGGAAGTAGTTGAAAAGCTTGAGGAGCGAAGAAACAAATATTTGAGAAAGAAGAATTTCAAGTTATTACAAGAGGAAAATGAGGAGGCATGTGTTGTAAATCTTACCAGAAGTGAAATCAACGAAATTACTACTGATTATTTAATAAATGGAGATGGGAGACTATTTGAAACTGAAGACAGAATTGTATCAAATCAAATGGAGGAGGAAAATAAGTCGGTACAGATATGGAGGGATATAGAATTGGAAGTAAAAGAACAGTTAAAAATTCCTTATGCCGTTTATAAGCAAATGATAAGAACATATAGATTAAAAAACTATCCTATTCTCCGATTTGCAGATTTCGATATATTGGATCTCGAAGATGGAGAATTTAATACTAAATACAGCCGAGTACCTGGCTGGCATCACATCTTCCATTTGATCGAATATAATGATGAGGGATTGTTACCGGATAACAACAATTTAATAGCGAAGTTAAAGTTAACAGTGAACGGCAAAATGAAGTTTTTGAGCAATCGTAAATTACCATTCGATACACCTTTCGAACAATACAAAAATGATTACATCGAATACCGCAACCAGTTTTTCAAAGAAGAGGCTAAAAAATGGCAGAACATGCCTCTGAACACTTTCGAAGACTTCCGTAAACAACTAGAGTTACTTACTCACATGTACGGCAAAAACAAGATAGACAGATCTTCCGTTAAAGACAGCAGCTCACATAAAACTAACGATAAAATAGAAATTCTGGACAATTCGGATGAAGATAGTTTGTTCGAACTTACATTCAGTTGCGACAAGGAATTCACGAAATCGGACCTGTTCGTACGGTTGGAAAAATTATCCGGTGACATAATCAACACAAAGTTGCGTCAAGACTCTGGATATTACGATTGCAGTTCTGGAAGCGAAAGCGACAATGTAGAGACCGTTAACGAGGAAAATGCAGCAGGAAGTGAGAATCATTCTAGTGATAATGCCAACACAGATATTAATACAGATGGTACCGCTGCCGATGCCGATGTGAACAAAGACAATATAAGTGCTAACAGTGTTACTGAAGATGATAATACTAATTGCACAGACAATGTTATTCCCATTAACAACATTACTGCCGATGGTAATAGTAACTGCACTAACAATATTAATCCCGCTAACAACGTTACTGTCACTGTTGATAGTAATGGCGCTGATGGTGTTAATCCCGCTGCGACCGCCGGTACAGCTGATGACGATAATTTCGACACTAGAAGTATTGTCAGTGATCACGATTATTGTCTTACACCGCCAATCGCAGATGCTTTAATTGGTCTTAGCACTGACCACGTTACAGAAAAGGGAGATATTGACAAGACAGTTGAGGGAGTTATTAAGAAGCCTTCAGAGTTCACAAAAGTTCCTAAAGCTGTTAAAAGTGGAGAATCCAGGAAGAAACATCAAATTAATGTAAGTATATTTTTTGTTGCATTGCAGTTGCCTTGATTCAAAACTCTGCAAATCCAAAAAAACAGAATTGAAGATAAAGGAAAACCTTGCCGTTCACTGGGGATAGGTTCGAGAAGATTCCAGCGCAAATCCGCGATGCGCAAGTCATTATGTTAGTGTTTAAAACATAATTAAATATCAGAAACATATTTCAGTTATTTATATAGGCTGTCTACTTCAGTTATTTATATAGGCTGTCTACTATAAGAAGGCCACTCCTATGTATCTCGCTTAATATATGACACATGTCAAAAATCTTTATGTTTTTTTGATGCATTTTTTGAGGCCTTTATGCTCGTAAAAACAAATTTGAGATCCATGGCCAACTTTGTTAGAAATTATAAAAAAAACCGGAAAAGTGCCGAAAGTTTAGGGTCGTCTAACTTTTTTATTTTAAGAGATAGAGTAAACTTATTTTAATAAAATTTCATGGCAAAATTTATATCTTTCACCTGGTATAAACAGATTTTGGAACTATCGTTTGTAAATTGCTGCGCCCCCTACACGGGCAAAAAAAATTATCATCGAAGTAGGCTCTGGCCACAAAATAATTGCTTGTTTTGTTCCACTTTGATGCATTAAACTACATGTCGCCTTTATCTTTTATATTTATTACATTTTTTATAATTTTGATATAAAAAATATAAAAATTTTTGTGTTGCTTATGTTAATGTAGAAATTGTTTTAAACATGTCAAATATATGTCAAATATAAAAAAATAATAAATAAACTACTTACAGAATTAGAGCTTTCCTCTTCCTCAAATGACACACTATTTTTATTTTATAACACCTTCAAAATGATAGTTTTTCAAATACAATGAACTGTAACAGTTTTCAAGCCAACAGTTACGTATAAACTATAACAATAAACAGTTTGCCAAATGATGATATTACTAGGGTCAAAGGGGTAATACATTTGTTTTCACAGCTTGCGAGATTTAGCGTAAGCTACTTTCTCTGTAAAAGAACAATGTTGAAGGCTTAATTCTTTCTAATGCAAAAACCAATATTATAATAAAGTAAAATCTGTATTTTGCTTAAAAGAAGTACATTATATTTATTAATTCTTTTGTAGTTATTATGTTTAACACAAATTTTTACATTAACATAAGCAACACGAACATTTTAATATTTTTTTATATCGACATCTAGTATATCGCATGAAAGAGGAAAGAACAAGCAATTATTTTGTGGACATAGCCTACTTCGATGACAATTTTTTTTTGCCCGCATAGAGGACGCTGCAATTTACAGACGATAGTTCCAAAATCTGTTTATACCAGATGAAAGATATCAATTTTGCCATGAAATTTTTTTAAAATAAGTTTTCTCTATCTCTTAAAATAAAAAAGTTAAGACGATCCTAAACTTTCTGCACTTTTTCGGTTTTTTTATAATTTCTAACAAAGTTGGCCATGGATCTCAAATTTGTTTTTACGAGCATAAAGCATATATTAAGCGAGATACATAGGAGAGGCTCTCTTATAGTAGACAGCCTGTATATTTATGTATATTTATTGTATGGAACAAAATCAAAGATAGTACATTTATGTGTTTCCGCATGCATATGAATTTTGAATTTCATAATTGTTTAAGGTTAGCATACATTGAATCGATTTTAAAACACAAGGCAAATGAGTTTTCGGAAACAGAAACACTTAAACACTTACAAACTTAATTCTGTGTACTTGGTGGTACAGATTCTGGGATAGACCTCTTCTGGAAAAAGTCTGTCATTGTTTTCTGAATTTGATGGTTTTTCAATTCTTTTAAAAGTTCTTTGTATGGTGAAAAGAGGTTATCAAATCCTCTGCTAATAACCATACTCCTCTGCATATCTGGATCTATCTCAATGATCTAACGTTTTAACTGCGACATCTTGTCTAACACTCCTTGTACACTTTTTGTTGTTAATGGATTCATAACACTGGACTCTTCTTCATTTTCTCTTAACTTAAAACGAAGTCTTCTTGGGTTGGTTCTTCAAGTTCTGTATAAGTGAAGCTGTTGTCTTCATTTTGGGTCAATTCTTCCACATCTTCGGCCTCTATATTTTCGAAACCTTCCCTTTCCACTTGTCTACTTGTCTACTATAATTTTTTCAATTTATCTCTGTAAATCTGGTTCTACTGCACTTTCCTGAACACACTGAGGCCATAGCTTCCTTTAGCAAGCATTAACGGTTGACAATTTCACCTCCGCCCAGGAGGATTTAGTTACAATATGCATTTTGGACCATATCAATGTCCGATATGTCAAAATATATTACAACTAAATCTGTAAATCCTTACGTAATTGGAAAAAAGACAGAAATGCCTGAAAGAGGTCTAACAATTACAAAATATCTTATTTTCTTAATAAAAAAACCTTCTTTTCTTTTTTTTAATAGTATCTCGCTTATCGTTAAAGAGATCATATGACTACGCTCGACAGAGAACGTTTTGTCCAAATATGTAAAAATATACATGGTGTTCCATTTAAATTAACAAAGCTAACATCCGCGGCTATTTTGTTTGGACTTCATTTGTTTTTCTATCATTTTCGAAAAATTCATAAAAAGCGTGCAACTTTTGTATTTCACATTTTTTATAACTCTAAAAACAAAAAAGTTAATGGGGGGGGGGTCAAAATATAGTGAATCACTCTGTACAACAAATAAGAAATATAGATGCGACCATTAATACTTTAAAGAGATATGAGAAAAATATTTCTTGAATCTTATGATACATAATCTTTGAAATTGTAAAATGTAATAATTCCTTATTTGAGGTTGAATTCACATTTATTGTAACATTTTTCTTTATAAATAGAAAGAACCTGAAAATGACGAATCCCCACCTAAAAGAAGAAAACTGTCCCAAAAACAGATAGAGGTGTTACTGCGAAGTAAAATTAAACCTACGAAATTACTGAAGTTTGAAAAATTTTTCTCAGAAAATTATCAATCTGAAGAGGGAGAGGGTGAGTGTTGACAAATACATATATAGGGTGATTCTACTTATGAAAACAGTGTCTTATAAATTTTTGAAAATTCTATATTAACAAAGTTACTTAAAAGTTATTCTTTTGTTTTTGCTACAACTTTATTTTTCAGTAAACAATTTTGTTCAAATTTGTACACTTATTGTCAACAAACTTACAAACAAAATCAAAATTAAGATCCTAATTGTAAGACTATGTTTCTTATTGAAAAAAAAATACGATCATGACGTTTTATTTATTTATTTTAGTATTAAATTCAATCATTACAAAATCCTATAAAAAGGGTAAGAGGGCCCTTCAGAGTCAATAACTAACCCTTTATGTTTTAAAATACTAAATGTTTCTATTATCAGTTCAAGTCAAAGGGATTTTTAAAAATTTTTAGTGATCTTTAATATAGAATTGTAAATAAAAAAAATTTTGATATATTTTTTTGACAGTAAGAAATTTGGTCCAATAGAATTTTGACGAATTTTTTTATAGGTACAATTTATTACCAATAAGTATGTTAAATTTGAAAAAAACCGATGGACTGGAACAAAATTACGGCAAAATATCGTAGAAACTTTTACCATTTTCTTAATAGTTTCCAGAAACCCGGTATAATTTAAGTGCCAAATAAAAACATCTCAATTCATTCTTTGTCATTTATTTTCAGGCAAAGTCCCAAGCGTCGAATACGATTCTGACGCAGAAAATATAGACACCGTCCATAACGGCGATAAAAATGATTGCGATGACCTCGATGATACTAGATCCATCATTTCGGATCATTCATATTGTCAGCCTTTGCCTGATGGTTCGCGTAACGATTCTGGGTTTATTGAGCCCATAAGTTTACCTACGCAAAGTAATGAAGAAACAGATAATCAGCCTAACGTTGAAGAAGAACTTTCATTGGAAGAAGAATTCGAGAGGTTGTCCACTTTGTTGCAAGAAAATCAAAGTCTAAATAGTGTTTCAGAGCAGCAGTCGTTACCTTCCGTACCTACCGAAATAGATATCATGGAAAAAGAGTGGGAAGAGGCTCAGGCAAGAGTCGAGGAATGGCGTAACACAATCAATCCCATCCTCAAAAATCTGAAAGAACACGACTTTGATATACACGAGTACGGTTCTCGAATAATAGACGGAATGGAGATCAATGAAAGTAAACTGTTCCGCAACGTCGTGCAGGGCAAGAGTTCGGCGGAAGTCGTGAGGTACTTTATATCCTCGTTGCAGTTGGCGAATACCAACAACATCGAGATATGTGGCGCCAAACGGGGAGAGCTGTCCAATGACACCTACAGTGTAAAGTTGTTGAGTAAGGATCGGTTCCACGAACATCTAAAGGATTATACGGCTCCGTCGGAGGATACCCTTGCGGAGAAATTGGAGAGGGTGCGGGCGATGAATGCACAACAGGTAATTGAAATAATCTTTTATTTTTACTATGAAATGCTACTTATAGATGGAAGTACAGGGTATCCCAGAAATTTTAACCAAGATTTAACTTTTTTCTCGTAATATTTATTTAAGGTAGTTATCTCAAGTGCGGTGTTCAAGTAGAAAACTCTCGAGCAAGTCTCATATTTGAGTCATTTAGGTTCAACAACTGACAATGTCATACAGAGCGGAGCTGTCTGCGAGAGAGGGAGATGGATGAAAACTGATATTTACGGGGCACAAAGTTAGGTTAGGTTAGTGTTAAATAGAGCAGTTCGAGAATAATGTGTACAACAGAATACCACAGATTCGTGGACTCATAATAGGCAGATTTAGGCTAATTCACCTATATCCGAAATCGATTCGTTTGGCTGCTAGATGTCCTCAAAGTTGGTGAAAATTTTTTGAATTTTGTAAATAACTCAAATATTGATTTTGAATTATTTTTAAGGTGTGGACTTTTGCTTTCAATCTACAAATTTTGATGTTACAGTATTTTTTGAAACTCACAACTACAAAATTGATGTATTTTTTCCTCTTTCGGGCGTTAATGACAACTATTTTTTATTTGATAACATTTGGAAGTTTTTGGGCCTCTTATACAGGGTTCGTAGCGGCTAGGAAAACCGGGAATATCGCGAAAAGTCAGAGAATTCATTATTCTTCATAAAAAACAGGGAATAGTCAGGGAATTCTAAAAATATTCATGAAAGTCAGGGAATTTGATGTTTGCAACTGGAAATTTTGTGAAAGCCGGCCCTAGGTTCTTGAAAGAGAAAACTATTTGTGGTGTTTGAAACCTTCTTATAAAGGTTTCAAACACCACAAATAGTTTTCTCTTTCAAGAACCTCTTGGTTCTTTGGGTTTAAAAAGAAGATTATGGAGTCCAGTTGAGAAAAAGTTTAATGCATAAACACCAATTAATATGTAAAAATGAACTACACGTGACATGGATTTTTTTTTAGTCAAGGAAAGCCTGGAAAAGTCAGGGAATTCTTTATTACTTTTGAACTATAGAACTCATCGTAATTTTTTTGTTCATTGATAAAAAAATTCCAAATTTTTACTAGCGATAAGTCGAACTATTGTCTTTAGTACTGTGAAGGCATTTGTCTCAAAAGCTTTTCCTTTTTTTGTTTTTAAGAAGGTAGTTCTATCTCCCTAAATATTGCGTTCTTTAAAAAAATAAAAAAGCTGACAGGTATTAAATAACTATAAACAACAATCTGAAAAAATTTGTTAAAATAATAAAAATTTTCTTTTCTGGCTGATGACGCTTTGGGTATCTCTCCAAATGTAAGTTTAAAGCTGTGTCACTTTCAATGTAACACTCCGACATTTGAACTTTGTGAAGATTTTTGTACACCATTTTTATACTTTTCAAAATTAATGAAACCAAGTAATAGACGTTTAACAAGCTTTCAATCAGTCTGAAAAAATATCTATAAATTTTTTTTTCATTTTTCTTTATTTAGGCAAATAAAACATATATTATTACATATGGCTGAAAAGGTAAAAAAATGCTATTCAACGGGATGGCCAAATGCAGGGTGTTCTATTTAAAAAACCCTGTGTTCATGTAATATTGGAAAAACTGTGCGATTTGTAAAAAATCTGAGTACGCCACTGGCTTCCTAATAAAAAATAAAACAATTAATGTTCATACTTTTTTCTTCTAAATTGAATGACAACTGAGATAGAGAGGTAAATGGGCCATTTTTCAAAAAAACCGTGTATATCTAAAACTAATCAAGTTAGCCAAAATCTTTTGGTACCAGCGAAGTAAACTCAAAAAAGAGGACAGGACGTCGATATGAGATTTTTCTGTATCTACCACCGTTTTTGCTGTACCCTACAAAACTATTGAAAATCAACCACCCTGTACATAAGCCTACTTGCCTGTTAGAAGACATTAATGATAAAAAATGTCGTTGAAAGAGAAATTTTATCTTGTAAAATTAGGCTTACGTAGATGTGGAACAATCATCTCAAAGTATTGATAATGAAAAAGAACTAGCTTAGGTTACTAACTAACTTATGAATTAAGCAGATAAGGGGACTTTTGTGAAATATTTTAGGGTGGCCGGTTTTTTTGCCGGTGAGTGTAAATATGTCAATCAGCGTGATTACTGGATTTGTGACAATCATTATTTGTATGATTGGAGTGAATTTGGAAAAGCTCTTTAAAGATTTCGTTAAATTTATAATAAATAATGAGCCATGCAAATTTGTTAGGACTCGTACGTAAGTAGACTTTTCGCAGGAGCTATTTGTCCCGATAGCAAAATCACTGGCTATGTCACATAATAAAAAGAACAAAAAAAAGTAGGAGGCCGTATTTATCGTGAGGGCAGAATTGCTGAATATATGAAAAGTACTTACCTGCTTGATGTTCGCATTGATCTACATAGCGAGAATGAATCACTGCCTACAATTTTGGGACTCTACTATAAGTTCTAGACATCAGAATTTTTTTTGTAAGCTATGAAAATTTTTAACGTTTTTTTCCAAGAAAATAAATTGTACATACATAATATTTAATTTCAGGGTAATTCTGGTCCATCAAAAGCCAAACAGATAAAGCTGTCAGACAAATCGTCTAAAGGTAAAATATTTAATAACAACACAAAGAACAAAATAGTGGTGAAAGTCACCAAGTTGCCATCTAACGCAGGATTCCCACAAAGGGAACCTTCGGAAATATTACACAGCACATATCAACACAACAAAGAAAACTGCAGTTCGCTATCACCAGTTTTTCCCGACAATACAGTAAAAGGTAAAGGTATAATGAAGAGACAAGTGAACACTCAGCATATATTAAATTTCGATATATCGGTACCTTCCACCTCCCGTCATAATCTTTGGTCTGATATCCCGTCTCAGTGTGAGGACCAAATGCCATCTACATCGTCACAAAACTTTTCTCCTCGCAATCCCGATTTGTTCGAAGAGGACCAAAGACGGTGCCCTAGGGTATACCCGTCCTCTCCGAATAAAAGGAGACAAAGTGATTCTTCAGAGGAATCGTTCCTCGACAGGCTAATAACCACGCAAAGGTTGAATCCTGACATTCAGGTACATTCAACTCCTCATGGGCCGACACCCGCGAAACAAGTGAAGATTTCTTCAAGTTTGAAGAAATCTTTTTTGTTTTAGTAAATAGTTATTTGTTTTTCGTTTAGTTGTTTAAGGAAATTATTTTGTCTCTTACTTTTAGTTTCATCTTTTATTTGCTTTCTTAAGGAGTTTTGGGAGTTCCAGTGACGATTCTGTTTTCTTTTTTATTTGACTTTGGTTTCTAATTCTTTGCTTCTGTGAAGATTATATTGGTTACATTAACTAAAAAAGAAAAAAAATAGTAAAAATTGCAGGTCTTTTTTTCTATCACATGCTGTTGCTGTCGAATATTACCAGAGTAGTACTAAAAGAATTATTAGAATTAAAATTTAATTTTGGTTTATTTTTTTAGAAACACATAAGTGAAAAAACAGGTATTTTTTACAGTTGTCACTAATATTCCAAAACTTCCGTTAAACATCCTGTACATAATATAATTTTAAAAATTACTACTTTTTTTAAGATGTACAGTTTTTACCAGTTTTGTAAATTTTTTCTATGTTTTCGAGATCAGTAAACAACTTTTTTAGGGATTATATGGATTTACTTTTATCTATTTTTTTTTAAGTTTATAATTTCTTAACATAAGTGTTTCGATATTTCGAATCGATTTAAGTTCAAAAATAATTTTAGTTTAATTTAATTATATGGGTGTTCAGAAACAGAAAGGCTGTACTTCAGAGACATATTTGAGTTAAATTAAAACTGATTTGTAGATTGGGATCTGTGTTTGATGAAAAATTTTGTTGTTCTAAAAAGTTACGAGCTTTAAAAAAAAATTTGTGTACATTTTTTCTAAATTTCTTTGTTTTGGAGTAGCCAAATATGAATATAAACTTATTTTTTTCACGAGAAACACCTTAAATAGCACAGCTACACAAAAAAAAAGTCTGTACTTTTCATGCTACATATGTTATCCGTAGTATTTTTGCCTCCTTATCACGAATCCGATGTCACATCACAGGAATTTCCTAATCTCAAAAAACAGGTTAAAAATAGCAAAAATTCACGAAAAAGTGCTAGAAAAAGTACCTACAAAAATAGTTTTTTTCTATATTCAAATGTTCATTTTATTATTATTATTATTATTATTATTATTATTATTATTATTATTATTATTA